TAGGTTGGACTGAAGATCTGCTGAGATCTCTTCCAACTCTCAAATTCAATGGATATTCCTGAGCTCTTGTGTGCCCAGCCTATCTTTTTATGGGAAAAGATAGAGGGATAAAATCAAGCCATGTCCTTAAGGATCTCAGAAGACAACTGAAACTGTTCCTGGCTTCAGAAAGTTTTCTGGTTTGCAGGAGATAGATGACAAATAGACCCTGGTTTTATCCTCTGAGATCTCACAGTCTGGGGCACTAAGAGGAGGGTAGGCCTGGCACTTAAGGAGTCCACAGTGTGGTTGGAATGGAGGGCCCGCTTTTAAAGACAAAGGATAGCATTTGTTCAAGGGATAGCTAATGTCATCAAGCACTAGAAATAGATGGTTACAGATAGTCAGTGCTTTCTGTGATTAGGAAGGGAAGAGATTAGGGAGGTTTAATCTGGGTTGACTTCTTGGGAGGGAGTAACACATGAGTTGGACCTCAAGTTTCTTGTTGTTGAGCCTTTTGAGAAAACATAGAAAGTATCTCTGGAAACAATTGAATTACTGTGAGGAATGTTCAGAGAAACAAAGGTGGTACAAGTAAAGGATTTCTCTAGGATCATTTTGTGTCTCTTGGAATCAGCCTCGGAATTGCCTCATGCAGAGATGGACTGTGACCATCAAATATGATGTCATAGTGGCATGGGCCTGTCACTAATAAGAACCTAGCACTAACCCTGACATTGACCTTGTCTTACAAGCATGAGCTTTGAATTCACTAAAAGCCTGGGAGATTGGGGCAGCTAGGTGGCACAGTGGGTAGAGCCTGGAGTCAGGAGGACTTGACTTCAAAATCCAGCCTCGGATACTTACTAGCTGTGTGATTCTGGGCAAGTCACTTATGTCTGGGACATGGCAGGAAGACCTGCAGGATGTTTGATCCATCTCTTTTCTTCCATAGTCCATTCTCTTCTCTCCTGTTAAGTGGAGTCTAACTTAAAAACAGTGGGATGAACTAAAAATCTTCAATGGTACATTTCACCACAGTGATGTGACAGTTATGAGAACGTCATGGGCAGCTTGCCACTTCGGAGATGGTTACATGTATAACTGGAAAAGATGTTCCAGTCCTGTAATGATGATGAGGGATAAGAGGTGCTAGATAGGCTTAGTGCCTTCATAGTTGGTTCCTTTAAAATTTTTTCATAAGCCATAATGGCTTCATATTTTCAGTTAAAAATTATTAGGAACCTAAACATCAACAGGAACATTTCAGTGTACAAAGAGAAGGTAAGAGTTGTAAACAGATAAAAGTGGATATTGAATTTAACACAATGGTAACAAAATTGCCTTGCTCATGTCCCATTCTCAACTTCTTTCTGCTTCTTTCTGTGTATTTTTAAAATATGTTTTGATATTTTTCTTTTTACATCACTGTCACTATCCACCAACACTCTCTCCCCTTCCAGTAGAATCCTTCCCTTGTAATTAATAAGTATAATTAAATAAAACAAATACACATATTGGCTTTATTTGAAAAAGTAGATTTCATTCTGTCTGTCTATCTCTTTGCCATACTTTATCAGTCTTCTGGAGTCATATGAGTCATTGCATTTTCTTTCGAAGTTGTTTTCCTTTACATTATTGTAGTTATATAAATTGCTCTTTGATGCTGCCCACTTCACTCTGATCAGTTCATACAAGTCTTCCCAGGTTGCTCTAAACCTATTCTTTTCATCATTTTTTACAGTGCAATATTATATTACATTCAGATGCTGTAATTTACACAGGCATTCCTTAGTTGATGAGCAGCCACTTTGCAGGTGTTTGCTACAGTAAATTCTGTAATATATTTCCCTCTTTCTTTGGCTTCTTGTGGTATATGTGAGTAGTAGTTGTATCACTGCTTCAAAAGGGTAGGTATAGCCAGTAAACTTTATTAAGTGTTTACTATGTGCCAGTCACTGTGCTAAGTGCTAGGGATACATATGTGAAAAAGAAAGACAATTCCTTACTTTAAGAGGCTTACAATCCTATGGGAAGAAGACCATGCACAAAGCCTGGCACGGAGGCTTAATAGAGAATTCCAAAGGAGTGCCGCCAGGTGGGATGTGAAAAGACAGCTGGCCTAGGTCTCTGCTTAAATGGAGGTTTTAGAGCTCATTTCTCTACCCTCCAATCAGAGGGTATTGTCCAAATTGCTTTCCAGAACGGCTGGAAAAATTCAGGCCTCTCATAGCCCCTCCAATAATTGTCATTTTCCTCTTTTGTTCTCTTTTCATTTGACATTTGACAATCTGATGAGTGTGAGATGAAGCCTCAAAATTGTTTTAATTTATTTTTCTCTATTGGTTATTTGGAGTGGTTTTTTTCCTACATGATTGTTGATAGCTTTCTTCTCTTCTTTTGAAAGTTCTATGTTCATGTTCTTACCATTTATCTATGAAGATTGGCTCTCTTTGTCCTATATATTTATATCAATTTCCTCTGTATCTTGGATAAAAGATCTTTATCAGAGAAATTTTCTGCAAGGAATTTTTTTCCCCATTTAACTGTCTGTCTGATTCCATCTACCTTGATTTTATCTGGGGGAAAGGAAGCCTTTCAGTTTTATCTACTTAAAATTCTCCAGTTTGTCTTTTATGATCCCCACTATGCTTTAAGTATTCTCCTATGCACAGTTGGAAAAGCTATTTCCTTTCTTCTCTGTTTCCTATGAAAAGACCCAGAGGACAATGTCTAGCATGTTGACTAGATGCTATCATTTCAGAAAAATTTGGTCAAGAATTGTACGAGAACAATCATCTTTTTTTATTATATTGTGTTATGGAAATGCTTGTTTTAGTTCATAACTTTAAATTTTACAATAATAAGAAAAGAAGGCTTGGATGGGTGGTGATCCATACTGTTAAGAAGAAACCCTATCAAAAGATCAAAGAAAAAAAAAATTTTTTAAATCAAAGTAGAAATGACTTTCTCCTAGCTAACTAGATTGGTAAGGGTATGATTAGAACCTCACGAACTGTCTCCATCTCTCTCTTTTCCGCAGGAATTAGATTGGTTTGATTTGGTTTCTCCAAACCAAGGGATTTGAGGAGAAATTGAGTTATTTAATGATTTCGATGGTATAGGGAATTCCCAGTGAGGAAATGTCTCTCACAATGCAAATTGCAACCTCTTCTGTGACTTAGAGTCTTAGAGCATGCTGAGTACCCCTGACCTGCCCAAAGTCATGGAGTTCTTCACAGTCCTCCTCTATACATTATGCTACCTGAATAATTAAATCTATTATTTCCTGGCAGCACAAACCAGATCCTGAGTTCCTTCTCCTTGGACAAGGAGACCAATTTTGAGGGGCAGGGAAGAAAGACTTTATTTATTATTAATACTTAAACAAAAAGTGGCTCTGAGTGGAATCCTGACATGCTGCCCAGTCTATAGACCCCACTTTCCCCCAGGAGGATGTAGTTCTCTTTTTGGGGGCTTTCCTATGCCTTAAGTAAGGACACCAGTGCCTGTCCTTCCAGATACTTTGTGGACAGAGTAGACTCGCTCCTAAAATAACTCTGAGGAAACTGACAAGACAGCTGTCCCTCTGACCCTCTCCATTTAGCCCTTCTCCCCACCTCAAAATAACTAGAGCCTGGCTATCCCATAGCTGCGGGGGCCAAGCTGTGACCGCTGCTTCCTGCCAGGCCTCTCGGATTCCACTCCCACAGCCTCCACTCCAGCCCAGGCCTTCATCTACTCTCACCTGGACTATAATAATAGACTCCTGACTAATTGGTCTCCTGATCTCCAGCTCCTTTCCCTCTAATTCATCCCACCTCCACTCTACCTAATACACAGGTCTGATCATGTTACTCCTTTACTTAAAAAAATTCAGTGGCTCCCTATTGCCTGCAGGATAGATAAACACTAGTTCTGATTTTTAAAGCTCCACTTCACCAGCTACTTTACACTAGTCCTCTTCCCCGGTGCCCTGTACCAGAGATGTCAAACTGGAGGCAGTTTGTGGTTTTCTAAGTCAGTTTGCAGACACAGCGATTAGTTGCTATTTGAGTGTGACACCATCCCTCTACACTTAGCCAGACTAGACCCATTTTGTCTCATTCTCTTCCTGCCTTCTTTCATCACCTGGTCTTTACTCACACCACCCTCCATAAGGAGAATTGATTCCTCACCCCCATCTCCATCTGTTGAGATTTTCCCCTTTCTTTAGGACCCAATCAAATGTAATATCTTCATTGAGCCATCTCTGATTTCCACCCTCTTTTGTCGTCCCCCCCCACACACACACTGCTCCTCTCATATCCCTTTGTCTCCACCTCACGTTTCTACTTATCACATTCTGCCTTGTATCAGAATTGTGTTTATACATATCTTTCTCCTTATGGCAATGTTAACTCCTTCAGTGTGTGGCCTACTTCATAGGTGTCTTTGTAGAGATATAGCAGAGCCAACATGGTGTCATAAAAAGCACATAAAAGAGCTGTACATTCAAACCTTGACTCGAATATTTCCCTGCTACATGTCCCATAAGCAACTGTTTTGAGATTTGGTTGCCTTTAAAACAGGGACAATAGGTTGCCTATAAAACAGGGACAATAATATTCTGCTTTCATCACAGAAATAGTACAAGCAAAGTGATTTGTAAAGTTTAACTTGCTAAACAAAAGTGAGCAGCATCATTTTTATGTTCAGTGCCTAGCCTCGTGACTTACACATAGTCGGATGCGTGACCTATCAACCGTCCATTGTAAAGATGAGAAAAGTCTGGCAAGGAACAGGAGGCAATAGCATCCCTGTTCCTTGTATTCTCCCTTCATTCTCCTGGCTGCTCTCAAGGAGTGAAAATGAGTACTCTTTACACATAGTTGTACTAGGGTGTATGTTCTGTCTTTGAGCCAAGTCCCAAAGGAGTATTTAGCACCTAGTTCAAGATGTATTTGGGTTGAATAGCATGTAAATGCCTTTGGCAGCTATATGACTGGGCACCTACTGACTTTTTTTCCCTCCTGTTTTAGGTGTCATTATGGCTGGCAGGGAAGGTTCTGTGATGAGTGTGTCACTTATCCTGGCTGTCTGCATGGGAGCTGTACAGAGCCTTGGAAATGTAACTGTGAGACCAACTGGGGAGGACTTCTTTGTGACAAAGGTACTTGCTGTTCAGTTCCAGCCTTGGCATGGAAGGAGGATGGGAACTCCTCTCTATGCAGTATGTGGAAGGGAAGAATAAAAGCAAATCAGATCTAAATGGATTTCAATGGACCTTTGCCATAGTGACTAGTAGAAATCAAGATGGAAAACAGGATCTGATAAAAAGGAGACTATTGATGTGAGGAAAACTTGGCCAACATTTAGTGCTGCCTAAAAATGGAATTAGCTGCCTCAGTAGGTAATGAGCTCCTCATCTCTATAGGTCTTCAGGCACAGGCTAGATGACCACTTACAGAGGGATTGGCTAGGGGCTTGAGGAGAGAGAGACTTCCTTTCTACTTTGTCAGACTCCTGTTGTCTCCTCTGGGATCCTGACAGGATCCCCAGCAGTGGGTTTGTGTTGAGGGCCAAGATTTTGTTGTTGTTGTTGTTGTTGTTGTTGTTTTGCTAGGGGTTAAGTGACTTTCCCAGGGTCACACAGCTAGTCAAGTGTCAAGTGTCTGAGGTCGGATTTGAACTCGGGTCCTCCTGACTCCAGGGCCGGTGTTCTGTCTACTGCATCACGTAGCTGCCCCGAGGACTGGGATTTGAGGAAGTGAGACTATTCTTGCCCAAGATCTGATAACACATAGGAGCTGTAACTTTGGAGACTGTGGGATATAAGTCTATCTCTCTATGTTTCTAGACCTGAACTACTGTGGAAACCACCATCCATGTACCAATGGAGGAACATGCATGAATGCAGAGCCAGACCAGTATCAATGTGCCTGCCCTGACGGATACTCAGGAAAGAACTGTGAGATCGGTATGAATGCTGGTGCCAAGGTGCCTTGGCTCCTTCCTGGCATCATTACAGCGAGGCCTCAAGGGACTCTTGGTTGCTTTTTTTTTTCCCTGCTGAGAAACTATTATCAGTGTGGCTCAGTAGAAAGATCTCTGAGCAGATACTCAGGAAACTTGGGATCCAGTCCCTATTTAGCCACCATCTCACTGTGTGAAGTAATAATGAAAGTCACTGTACTTTCCCAGGCTTTAATTTCCTCATCTGTAAAATGGGCATGGTAACCTTTATCCTGCCTCCTTCCTAGGGCAGTTGGGAGGATATAATAAGAAATGAAAACAATTGGTCTCTTTCCTGTAGAAACACATGCCCTGACCTCAACCATAGTAACTGGGAATGTGGTTGAGGTGAGGTAAAGGGAAGCATCAATTGGAGAATGGTGTCTTTTTCTCCTCTCTTGGCTTGGCATGTTACCACAGACAGTGGCTTACAGGAATTTTGTTTTTTCCCCAGTGGAGCATGCATGTGTGTCTAACCCCTGTGCCAATGGTGGCTCCTGCCACGAAGTCTCCTCGAGTTTTGAGTGCCACTGTCCCCCAGGGTGGAGTGGGCCCACCTGTGCCATTGGTAGGTACTTCACAGCTTATACATGGGGCCTTTTTTCCCCCCAGGGAATGGGTACAGGTAGTGGAAAGAATATCTAAGTAAATAGACTGTAATCCTCAACACTCAAAAGTGTTGATTGCTTGCCAGTATGAACAAGGGATATGCAGTCAGCTCGCATTCATTCATTCATGCATTTGTTTGTTCAGCAGTCACTTTAATAAGTTTTGACCTTTGTGCCAGACTGTGCCATGGGATGAAATGCTTAAGACAGGTTCCCTACCCTCAGGAAACTCACAATTTATGTGAGAATACAAGTCATATAATGAACAATATAAGGAAATATGGAAAATGCCCACATTTGCTGTAATAGGAAGGAGTTTGATGAGAAAAAAGTTGATGGGGAAAAAGAAAAAAAATGTGCTTGTTCCAGGAGATGGAAGTCATTCTTGGTCCTCCCAGCTGCTAGTGCCTTCTCTCTGAGATTAGCTTCCCTCTAGTCTTTATATTTATTGAATATACCTGTGTGTCTCTCTTATTAGTATATGAGCTCTTTGAAGACAGGGGCAAATGCTATTTTTATTTGCATCCCCAGCATTTAGCACAGTGCCTGGCACATGGTTAAATGTTTAATATATAAATTATTGTTCACTACCTGATTGTTGACTGAATACTAGGCTAAAGAGATTGAACTTCATAAGTCATTAAAGGATTTTGAGTAAAGGCGTAATATAACTAAACCTGTAAGCCAGATCTGGCAGAATGTGAATGAAGGATTGGAGGAAGGCAAGAGTAGGTGGGTAGTAAGAGGGTGGGGAGCCCCCTAAGGGGCTCGAGCAACAGAATAGTCTAGATTGGTGTTAAGGGAGGGGAATCAACAGCACCTGGTAACTGATTGGATACGGGTGAAGAGGAGGGAAGAGTAAAAAGGGGTTTCAAACATGGAGAACAAAGTAGTGCCAAGAATTGAAATAGTTAAGTTAGAAGAACAGGCTTAAGGGGAGAGACTTGAATATGTTGTGTATTAGATGGCAGTAGAACATTAAGGTGAAGATGTCTTGGAGGCCATTGGAAACACAGGTCTAGAGCTCAGAGTCTAGGTCAGGGCTGGATATCCAGATCTGGGAGGCTTCTGCATATGGAGATAGCTGAAGCAGTGGGAGTAAATTAGATTGTCCTGAGAGTAATTGTAGAAAAAGAAGAGAATAGACCAAGGACAGGACCTTGGGAAATACCAATGTCTACTGGATCCTCCTGGTATAGCTCTATGCTTAGCTACTCTAGAGGGAAAACAGAAGTCCTTCCCTTTAGGGAGCTGTTTAGCTTTCTTAGGGAGCTAAGATCAGGGCAGGGGTTCTACTGTGCTTGGTTTTGTAAGGGAAAAGAAGTGAGAGCATATAGATTCTTGAACCTTCATCTTTGTCTATTCTCAGCAATGCTCTTTTTCTGGAGGGAGGTTCCTAGAGATTCATCTTCTCCTTTCAGCTCTTGCCACTAGCACTGGGCCTTGGACTAGCAATGGGTCCTCAAGTAGTATCTCTGACTGATGGTCAAGATCTCTGCATATTCCCCAATTTCTGAATTTTTTCTCTTGCATGAATATTCTTTGCAGATATTGATGAGTGTGCATCCAACCCCTGTGCCCGCGGAGGCACCTGCATTGACCAGGTGAATGGCTTTGAGTGCATCTGCCCCCAGCAGTGGGTGGGCACAACGTGCCAGCTGGGTAAGAAGATGTTCTTGGGTCTTTGGGAAGTATGCTCAACCCAAGGGACACAGACCCTTGGCTGCTTCCACCTGCCTTACCCTCCAGGCACACTCACCTATTCACTTGACTCGCAATGCTCTCTGCCTGAGTCTCATCAGACCAAGGCTTTAGGCTTTGTGTGGCGTATCTTATGTACGTGTCCCTATTCTGTCCTTTCGGAGCCTCAGCTTCCCTTCTGACTCTCACCAGGGTTGGGGGGGGTAGTATTTAATTTTCCTGTGTTCAGTACAAGGATCTTAGGTGGTAGTGAGGGGATTGGCATGTGGGTGCCAGGCTGTCAGGTAGCCGGCACAGAAGGCAAAGCCGGAGCCTACGATTAACCAGTCCACGTGTTCCCTATCCCACTTTCCCCTCATCTGTCTCTTGTTCTGTCACCTTGTAGGGTCTGGTAGCCCAGACTAATTATCATGTGTCGTAATGTCACTGTCTCCTGTTTCTCATCCCTCTTCTCTTCTTTGCTCTTGCTTGCTGGATGTGGGGGCTCTGGTGGGTGTGCGGGAGCTGGTATTTTGCTTTGGTAGATGTGCAGGAGCCTGTGTCTGGTGGTATGAGCTTTATTCTCTTCTCTGTCTTTTTTCACAGACGCTAATGAATGTGAGGGGAAGCCCTGTCTTAATGCTTTTTCTTGCAAAAATCTGATTGGTGGATATTACTGTGACTGCATCCCAGGATGGAAAGGAGTGAATTGTCACATCAGTTAGTATTGCCTCTGAGGGGCCTGGGGGAGGAGTGGCCTCATTTCTTCAGAGGGCAAATGCCCTGTGGGTAAATGTCAGGACTGCAAGACATGGGAGAACCTGGGTTTGAATCCCTGATCTGTCACATGTATCCTTGTGACCTGGAATACTTCCTCCCTCAACCCCTCCTCCGACTTCTATTCCCCCATCTCTAAAATGAGGGAATTGAAGTAGATGAAGTTCTTTGATCCTGTAAATTGCTCAGCTAAATGAATGGAGAGGAAGCCCTTCAGGTTCTACTTGACTCTCTAGAGGCTCCTGGGAAGGAAGCATTAGCACTTCTTTTGCAGGAATGGGCCCTGATTGGTGAATAAACTGTACATTATTCATTTTCCTTAAGCCCTTCTGCTCTGACCTCAAGAAAGTCATCCAGACCCTTTTTGACCCTGTTGATAGTGTCAGCCTGGTTGTTCCCTTGAAATATATAGTATGTAGTCTTTCCTTGGCCCTAAAAGTCCCTTCTTCAGGTTCCTCCTGAAAAGTCCCTGGTTCTTCTATAGATTTATGATGTATCTATGTCTTTCCCCTCATCTTCTTGGTGACTTTCTAAACTGAGTGTCCTCCACATTTTTCCTTTCCCACAATATTATCTCTAATAATATCTTGAGCCAGAGGTACAAGTGAGTTAATAGTCTTAACATGACTGATCCAGTGCCTGCTGAAAGTCAGTGGAGATGCTTTTCATAGTAGGGTGACTGATTTAGAAGTCACCTAAGCATTCTGGGCCTCGGTTTCCTCATCTGCAAATGAATCAGTCATGATATTTTCACTTCCAACCTCACATGATTGGTGTGAAGAGAAAGTAAACCTTAAAGTGCTATGAAAATCATACAAGTTACTATTTTCGTGAGATGCACCATGGCTTAGTGGCTAGAGAATTGGCCTTAGAGTAGAGAAGATATGGGTTCAAGTCCTGCTACTGATATTTTATTGGCTGTGGAGTAAGTCACTTAGCCTCCCTTTCTTTGCCCTAGGCAACACTTTAAGACCCAGTTGTATTGTTAGAGAGTTTCCTTTTACCAGTGAGGTCACAGGTCCAGTCCAAAAATACATACACATACGTAACCATTATTTACACTAGGCCTGGACCTCTTCCCTGGATGCTTGCTCAGTATTCATGGATTTCTGAATCTCTCACCAGTATAGGAGGAGTTTGACCTAAATATATGTTCTTTGGTTTGAAAAAACCCTCATTTGTCTGTCTGTCCATCTGTCCCTCCCTTCCCCTTTTTCTCCCCCCCCTTCCCTATTTCCCTGCCCCTCCCCTCCCCCTTTCCTTCCTCTTCCTCCTCTTTTCCCTCTCCTTCCCCCCTACCTCTCCTTGTCTCTCTTCCCTTTCCCCCTCCTATCATCTATGTCTGGGAATAGATAGTAAAATTTGTGTTCTATTTCCTAGATATCAATGATTGCCGGGGGCAGTGTCAGAATGGAGGCACATGCAAGGTAACAATTTCTTTATTTCAATTCAGTAAGCACTTATGAAGTGCCTACTATGTGCCAGGTGTGTTAATCCAAAGTGTCAGCCTTTCTGTTTCTAGTAGATGCCAGCTTGTCTCAGAATGCAAGCCCTAGATGTTGGGCAGAAAGGAAAGTATGATTCAGAGTTGACTTGGGGCATATGTCCTTGCTTTGTTTTTTTTTAAACAAACTTTATTTGGCATTACTGTAACTATATTCACACCCCAATCTCCTTGCCCCTTTCCATAACACTCTCCTTTTTAACAAATAAGTATAGTCACATAAAACAAATTCTTACATTGATTCTATCTGAAAATGCATGGCTAATTCTGTACCTTTAATCCATAACATCTCTGTCAAGAGGTAAGCAGCATACTTTGTCATCTGTCCTCTGGAGTTAAGGTTAGTTATTGGATTAATCATAGTGCTTCAAGGTTGTTTTTCCTTACAATGTTATAGTCATTGTATAAATTGTTGTCTTGGTTCTGCTCACTTCAATTCTGCTTTAGTTCATACAAGTCTTCCCAAATTTCTCTGACTCTATTCCTTTCATCATTTTACAATAATATGACATTATTTATACCTTCATATACCATAATTTGTTCAGCCAGTCCCCAAATAGTGGGCACCCCCATAGTTTTCAACATCAGAAAGTGCTACTATAAATATTTTTTGTGTACTTGGGTTCTTTACCTCCTGTCTTTTATTTCTTTGGGTTATATACCTAGTAGTGGTAATGCTAAGTCAAAGGGTAGGCACAGTTTAATGACTTTTCAGGTATAGTTCCAAATTGCTTTCCAGAATGTCTAGACAACTCATACCTCTAACAGTGCATTAGTGTGTTTATCTTCCCATGGTGCCTCCAAAAATTGTCATTTTCCTTATTCGTCATATTTGCCAGTATGAGATATGTGAGTAGAACCTTGAGATGTTTTAATTTTCATTTTTCTTATTAGTTATTTGAAGTATTTTTTTCACATGTTGTTGATAACTTGGGTTTCTTCCCTTGAGAACTACCTATTCATATTCTTTGACCATTTATCTACTGGGGAATGGTTCTTGTTCTCACATATAGGGAAATAGTTCCCTAATATAACTTTATCAGAGAAACATGCTGCAAGGATTTTTTCCCCCAGGTAACTGTTTCTCTTCTAATTCTAACTGTTTATTTTGCTTGTGCAAAAGCTTTTCAATTTTATAATCAAAATTTTCCATTAAACTTTTAATCCATTCATTTTGCTCCTTCAGAGGCATTTTCTTGAACCATAAGGTTTGAAGCCTTAGGGCTGATAGAAAGTTTTTCTGTGATCCACAAAGCCCACATTCTTCAGCCAAACAGTCAGTATTTACTGATTGATGGCTATCAGAGCAGCCCTGTGCTTGGCATTCTGGAGGTCAGAGAGGTGCAAAGATGGATGAGACATATTCTTTTCTTTTCTTCATGAGCCAGCTTCCTAGGAATCATTCGGCTTTCCTGATTATTGGATTTATTCAGAGAAATTGGTTTCGAATCATGGCCTTCCCAGCTACGTCTATAACGTTGAGCAAGTTACTTCGAATATCTGGACCTGAGTTTCCTCCTCTGTAAAATGATGGGGTTGGACTTGATCAAATCCTTTCTGGCACTAAATCCTGGGAGCTGGGTTCTATCATCCTTCTGAGGCCCAGTTTTTTTCTCATCTACAAAATGTCAAATAACAATAATAATAATAATATTAAAAATAACATCACTTGGCACCACCTACTTCACAGGGTTGATATAAGGGCTGCACTTTGCAAATCTAATGGGTGTGATGATGATGATGATGATGATGATTATTATTATTATTATGATTCGAGTCCTGTTTTCTGCCCTGTGTTAACCAGGATGAGGTGAATGGCTATCAGTGCCTTTGTCCCCGGGGCTTTACAGGCAAGCATTGCGAGCTGGAGAAGAATGAATGTGCCAGCAACCCCTGTCAGAATAGGGGGCTCTGTGAGGACTTAGTGAATGGCTTCCGCTGCCACTGCACCAAGGGTTTCTCTGGTGTCTTCTGTGAGGTAAGCGAATGGCTTTCTCTTTCCCAACCATGGCAGGGGAGCCTAGAATAAAAAGGGTCATCTCAAAAGTCCAAGGACCTTAGAGTACTCCAGAAAAAAAAGCGTTCAATCAGGGGTTGGATGGCTGGAATGTAGTTGTACGAGAGATTTTAATTCGAGTATGGTTTGGGCTAGGTGTTTGCTGACGTCTCTTCTAACTCTGAGATTCTAAGATTCTGTAATTGAATGAGAAAGATCACTAGTCACCTTCAAAAAACTCTTTCTGGTGCTATGAGATCTTTCTGTGAAGAAGTTCCTGGGAGGTCTGACCCGAGTATGTTGTTATAGGTCTATATTCTCTATTTTATTTAGGAATCAGTGGGTGCAAGTCTCCTTTCTATGTGAGCACATCTTATTACTTTGCTGAGGCCTACTGTTTGGCAAGATAGAATTCTAAATTATAACATGTTTCTAATTCTGAATGAATCCATCTTGGCCTGCAGATTGTGAGGTGTTTGTTTCTAAATAAAAAGTGTTGCTCATGATCCAACTTCCCCTCCCTTCTCATGAGGCATCAGGGCCTTTTTTACCCTGTAATGGGAATACAGAAAAGTACAAGCCCCCATCTGGCTCCCTATCTGGCTTCATGGGAGGTAGTGAGTGATAAAAAGTCTCCTTGTGTTGTTTAACTTATTATTCTCTTATCGTGGTCCCCAGGGTTTGTTTTGATTTTTTAAAAGAATCTTCTAGCTGTTTTGCTTTGGGCATGTTAGTCTGGGAGAGAATGAGGCATATTTGAGCTTAATTTAAGGAAAAACTTCCTAACTATCAGAACAGTGTAAAACTGGTTGCTGTGGTAAGGTAATAAGTTCCCCATCACTGGAAATCTTCCAAGCACTTGCTGGAAGTGTTATAGAGGGGATTCTCTTTCAGGTATTGAGTTGGACTAGATAGGTGGCCTCTGCTCAGATTCCAGCTTTGAGATTATGTGATCTTAAATTACAAGAGGCATATTTCAGCTCAATATGAAGAATAACTTCTTAACAATTAGAGCTTTCCAGAAGTGGACTAGACTGGCCTCAGAACATTAGTGAGCTCCCCTGTCACTAAACGTGTGAGGGCACAGTCTTAATGTGATGAATGTCATAGAGGAGATTGCTGTTCAGATAAATATTGAGCTTGGGGCCCTTGGAGGCCCTTTCCAGATCTGGAATTCCATGACTCTCAGTATAGGCTGTTGACCATGGGTGAGGGGTCCTGAAGATTGGGGACTGGGCTGAAGTTAAATAGGCTGAACTGGCTGGCTGGCTGTTTTCCTTGTAACAGGAAGTCTTCCCCCCTCTACCCCCACCCTCCTTCATCAGTGCCCGGCGCCGAGTGGAAATTGGAAAGGGAAGCTCCGACTGTTGGAAGGAAATGAGTGGAGGTGTCTGATAGGAGAGATCTGAGAGCTTGCTTCATTCTCAAAGTGCTTCCCTTAGGGTCAGCAGTACCCCCTAGAAAACACAGGGAAACAGCCCAGCAAAGCTGTGTCATTTCCTGCACTGCTTCTTAGGACACATTATGGTAATTGTGACAAGAACATTGAATTTGGAGCTCAAGACCTGGATTTGAATTCCAACTCAGACACTTAACCTTTGTGAGCTTTAGCAAATCCCTTAATCTTGCTATGCCTGTTTCATCATTTATAAAATGAAAGCACTGAGTTGGATGATTTTGTAAGATCCCTTCCTACTCTGAAATCTCATGTTAATAATTAAAGTATCTAGTTTGCAAACACAGAACAGTACTTGGAATCTACTATTGGCAACATCTAAATGTTACCTATCATTTCTTTGGAGGTCATGTACACTGAGGGAGGGATGGTGGGGACAGCAAGTAGAAAGAATGCTTACAGAGAGAGACCATGGTCATTTTTCTTCTCTGAAAATGTTCACAGATAGAATGGGGGTGTTCTGATTTCTATGGGGCTTCCTTGGAGGGAGGCCCAGATGTATATCTCCTTTGGCCCCTGGTGTTGCTTGCTGGAACACAATGGTAAATTCTGCATAGAAATAGGATAAGCCTATTTCTGAGAAGATGAATGACTTTTTTACGAGGACTCCTTGGCATTGGAGTTTGAATTTTGTTTTAAATTTGAGTTTCAAAAATGGTGGCTGATGCTTAGGAGAAAAATAAGAGTTTCAGTTTTGAAAGAGACATTTCAGACAAGTTTTTGAAGCCGGCACAGCCTCGAGTGGCCTGAAGGGCTTTCCTGTCGTGAATGAAAAGTCCACATGTTGTCTGGATGCCTTCCCAGTCCCCTCCCCACCCCCTGTCCTCTGTATGCAGGCAGAGGAAACACCACACCATCCCTGTGAAGGTCAGGGAGTGTACCTCTGCATGATTCAGTCACTTTGGCTGGGAAACTTTGGGGCTGGGCCTCCCACAGACATGTTTGGAGAAACACAGATGTTTCCTTCTAAGATATTCTGGCATGATCTGTGAGAGCTACTGACTTCCAGTAGGCTGCACTGATGATCTAGTATCAAGACTGAGAGAGATAATAGTTTCACTGTCCTCTGCCCTGGTCAGACCACATCAGATGTGTTCATTTCTGGACACCAAATTTTAATAAGTCTATTAACAAGATGGAGAGCAGTCGGGATGTTGAGAGGATTGGAGACTGATGAATCAGGACTAGTTGAAGGAACTAGAGATTTTTGACCTGAAGGAGGAGAAGCTAAGGGTTTGGATATGGAGATATAGTCACTGTGTTAAAACATCCAAAGGTCTGTCACCTGTAAGGACAGATCTGACTTTGACTAAGTAGCCTTAGAAGGCAAAACTAGAAACCTGTAACTTTGTTAGCAAAATGCAGACCAACTCAAAATGAAGATTCGTTTTCAAGATGGCAGAGCTATCCAAGAATGGAAGAGGTTGCCTTGAGTAGGACTGAAGCCTCCTCTTGCTGGAAGTGTTTTCAATCAGTGGTTGGATGGCTGGAATGTAGTTGTCCAAGAGATTTTCATTCAAGTATGGTTTGGGCTAGGTGTTCTCTGACATCTCTTCTAACTCTGAGATTCTAAGATTCTGTAATTGAATGAGAAAGATCACTAGTCACCTTCAAAAAACTCTTTCTCTGAGTAACTATCCTTTAAATAGTGGTCCCCTAAGTCAGAGCTATCAGACATGGGGCCAACAACACTCCTGAGCGCTGCTGAATCAGATTAAAATGTAATTGAAAAATATTTAACAAAATAAATGAAAACATAGTAAAACATAATGTTAATATGTGGTTTTCTAAGTCAATGTGTAACCCACAAGAATCCTTATGTATAGCTTAGTGGCCCCTGTTTTTGTTTGACACCACTGCCCCAAGTCAATCAAAGATAAGTCTTTTTTTCAAATGGAGGATATTGCAAGTTCTGGGATGAGGAAAAGAATCTTACGGTGTTCATCATCATACATATCCTCAGCCGAGCTATTAACGTGATCCCTTGTAGGGCCACACTGAAGAGGTGGGGTGATGGGTAAATGAGAACTGCTCAGTTCCCTCAATGACTTCACAGTCTAGCACAGTGCTAGGTGACTAGGCAGGATGCTATGAGACATGTACAGAAGAGGAGAAGTGGCGGGGGGGGGAGGTATGTGGGGAATTGATGTATTAAAACCTAACAAATAATTCACACTCTATCTGAGTACCTCCTATGCCCAGAGCCTTGGGCTTGGCATTCCCTACGTTATAGCTTAATCATGTTATGGGTGGAAGTCCCAGTACACCCTGTCCATGCCTTAGCAGACTCTTCTCATGAGCAGTTGTAACTAAGAAAATTTACCTTTAGGCTATTATATTGGTGATGAACTTGACCACACTCAACTGAGCTAGTCCCTGGATGACAAAGGTACAGCCCGTCACCAACCCCGTCCTTGAAGGCTTTTCAGCTTCATGAGATCTGCCAGCGCTTGTGCTTCCCTGGCGTGGTCTTTGAGAACCAAGGTCTTCTGCCTGGCATTGGGAGAAGGCATTTAACTTCACTGAAGTTAAATGAACTTTTTTGAGGCTTGACTTAGATTTTCCTAAAATAATTCTGGGTTTGTCTAAGAAGATGTAGAGCTGCCCCTCGGCCCAGTGATCCCTTTTTACTCAGATGTAGCCATGCCCCACCATTCCCCACCATTCCCCACCCCTCATTGTGTTACCCATCTGTGACTCCCTGAGCAAGATGAAGAGGAAGATTCAGCTGTTGCAAATGTGCCTTCTCTGTTTCATACCTGTGGCCTTCCCATTTCTCGGGATTAGTTGAAAGAATTGACCTGGAGAAGAAAGAAACATAGGTTTTGGGTGTAATTATATAATTACTATGTTAAAATATCCCAAGGTCAGTAGGACATGGCCCTGTTTCCTGTGATAGGCCTGGGAACCCCCAGTCTCCCCAGGGGATGCTCGAGCTCTTACCTGGCATTTGTTCTTCCAGGTGGACATTGATTTCTGTGAGCCTTACCCCTGCCAGAATGGAGCCCGCTGCTACAGCCTGGAAGGAGATTATTACTGTGCCTGTCCTGAAGACTATGATGGGAAGAATTGCTCCTACCCTAAAGACCACTGCAGGAATGGCTCTTGCAAAGGTGTTTGATTGCCCCAAACCCCACAGATTTTTCGCAAGCCTTTGGATGAAGCATGGCGGGCAGGGTTGCTGACAAGGAGTGGGGGCGTGTGTGGATAGGAGAGATGACACTTTTCAGCCCAGGGCACCGGGTTGAGGTCTAATGCTATTGGATAAATGAGCAAAGCGTCAGGAGACCTGGGTTTTCATCTGTTCTGACACTTGACTGGCTGTGTGACTGTGGGCAAGTCACTGCTCTTATCTGGGTTTCAGTTTCCTTATTTGTAAAGTTAGGATGATAGTCCTTACACAATCTAACATTACAGGATTAGAGGGAGAAAGTACCTTATTAACCATAAAGTGCTACAGAAAATGGGAGTAGTTGTTTCTTTGATACTTGAGTGGACCTGCGAGCTCATCCATGTAGATGCTCCTTTCATGGATGCAGATTACAACTTACTAATTGAAGGAAGGCAGCACCTGGTAGAGTCAGTGGTGTGAGCGAGGCTCTGATTCAAGAGAACTGGGTTCTAGTCCCTGCTCTGCCCTTAGCTTGCTATTTATAAACTAAGGAGGTTAGAGTGGAGAGCTAAAGTCCTGTCCAGCTCAGACACTGAGTCTGGTAGGCCCTATTGTCACCTGCTCAGGGCACTGATGAGCCATCCATTACTGAGGGTCTATTCCTGTCTCTGACCCTTGGTTACTGAAGGGCTCTGGGCAAGTCACTGTCCCTCTCATCCATGGATATCCATTTTCCTCACGTGGCAAATGGCAGGAGTCCCCCTCCTTCCCAACATGTATAGAGATTAAAAGGGATAACTAAATAAAAGGTGGGAAAGGCGATTTGTTGAAGATGTTATAATAGGATACTTCTCAGCTTAGGGTTTGGAAGTCCCACCCTAGTCTTGCTTCTCAAAGCTGGGCTGTGGTTCCACCTGAACGAAATGGGATTCTGCTTAAGGTGGTCATTAGACTAAACGTCCCATGTACCTCCAGGTCCAAGATTCTGTGAAAGTATTGAAAATGATTAGAACAACAATGATGCTTTATCATCCCCAGTAAGTAGTATTAGCATTAACTTTACCCTTCATTGTCAAACTGTAGAGTTTTAAAAACTGCCCGCAAATCTCTACAGGTTTTCACATTTTTCAAAAAGCTTTCAAATCCATTTTCTCCTATAATGTTAATAATAGTGCACAGTCCTCTTGCCCTTTGAGGCTTATAAAACACTCCTTTCACAACAACCCTGGGAAGCACATAGTATAAGGACGTTTATCTCTAATTTACAAATGAGGAAACAAACGAGGCTCAGAGAGGTCAGAGTGATTTGTCCAGTGCCGCATAGCTAATAAATGCCAGCGCTTTTCATAGTATACATGAGACCAACTTGCCTCTCTTGATTTTTATATAACCTTGTAATAGAGAGCTATTGTCCCCATTTTTCAAGTAGGGAAATTGAGCGTAGGTACAGTAAGTAAGTCTATCAAGGTCACTCTGAATCAGTGACAGAACCAGGATTAGGACCCATGCCTTTTGACTCCTAGGCCAGAGCTTTGTCCACTCTAGCCCCAGGGAAGCGGGATGACTGGGAATAAATAAGAAGATGGAGTATTCATACCCTAGGGCTTACATACCCTTTTCATCAAATGGCAGGCTTGAACTCTGTTCTGCCTCTGGTTTGGGGATAAAGTATATAAAAATGATGGAGTGTGTGGCAGACAGGGACCTGGACAACTCAGAGCCACATATCCACTGTTCCTCCCCCTCCCTTCCTCCTTTTCTCATGTCCAGTAATAGACAGCTGTGAAATCGAGGTCTTCACCAACACTACAAGATTCATCTCTTCCAATGTATGCGGGCCCCATGGACATTGCATCAGCCAGCCTGGGGGTAATTTCACGTGTACCTGTGAGAGTGGCTTCACTGGCACCTACTGCCATGAGAGTGAGTCTGATGTCCCTGTCCATTTTTTCCTTCCTTATTGGCCCTAGGGGTAAAAAAAAATAACTACAAGCTCTCGTGTATTCATTTAGAACATTAATCAATGAAACCAGTGAGGCTTTTGCATTTGACTAACATCTATATCCTACTCTTTCTCTTATCCCCTCTCCAAAAAACTCTCCTTAAAGGCTGGGTTCTGTGTCTACCAGCTATGATTGGGATCTCTGTCTGGGTTATTTTGAGTGTCCCTTCTGACTACCCCAGAAGGGATGGTACTGCTACGAGGAAGTGGGCTGCTGGAACTACCCACACACATCATTTCCATCCTCATCCCCACTTGGGTGGGAAAGAATAAGTCGTCTCATTAGTAGGACTTCTTGGGTGGGTTGGAGGTGGGGGGAGAGCAGGAAGAATGTCTTCTTTCCTTCTCTATCCTATTCCCGTGACTCAGCTCCTGCTTCTCTCCCCTCCACAGACATTAATGACTGCCTGGGGATGCCGTGCCAGAATGGAGGCACTTGTATTGATGAGATCGACTCCTTCCAGTGCTTCTGCCCCAGTGGCTGGGAGGGCGAGCTGTGTGACACCAGTGAGTAAAGCCTGGGTTGGATGAGATGTGACCCTGGGACCCCCTCCCTCCCTGCCTCTGCACACACCTGCTTTCAGGCAGCCTCTCATCTTCCCAGATTGTGAGGGTCTAATGCCAATTGGCCTAATTAAATTGTCCCTCCCCTTACTAGCTGTATGGCCTTGGGCAAGTCACTTCATTTCTTTAGGTCTACATCTGTAAAATTTTGGGATAAGCTTATGTTACCTTTGAAGCTTTCAAAACCTTTCAGGGCCTATACATCAAAATTGAAGATTTGAAGGATGCATACTGTTCCCCAAGTAGCTTTCCCCAGTCATTTCTTCATCTTTGATATTAATAACAGGTAGTTTCAATATAGGGCATATACAAGAGAATATTTTCATTACCTCATTTACCATAATGTGAAGCAGAAGGCTTTCTGTCCCCAGAAGAAATCAAAGCATCTCGGAATTCAGGCACTGGGCTGTCAGCAGAGAGGTAATTTAGATTCAGGATAAATTTTTATCTTAAAATCAAATGAACCTCCCATACTTGTAGATGTTGAACTCTTAACTGGCTTCAGTGGGTTACTCTAGGTATAGATTACACTTGGGGTATAGTAGTAGAAGGAGGCTAAACTCCATTTTCCTTCTGTCCCACTTCATTCACTTTGAATATTGCCTTGTTACCTTGCTACAAAGCCCTTTCCCACTATTGAGAGAAACAATCCATCCATCTCCTTATAAATTGTTGATTAAGAAGGAAGTTTCAAAGCCCTGTGTCCTGGATGAAGGTTTTGTGTAGCTGTCTGTGACCAGCCAGGCAGTCAGTATTTACTAAGCTATCTGCCGAACCCTGTGCTTGGTGTTCTGGGGGCATAGGCCAGGAAATAAGGGGAGGTTCAGAGAAGCATGAGAAGCCAGACATGAGAAATCACTGTACCTTCCCCATAGAGGACAAACATACAAATTCTGGCTGTGCTATTTTCTTACCTGTTTGACCATGGAGAGCGTCTCTGGAGTTCACTTTCTTCCTGTGTAAAATGAGAAGGGGGTAGGCTGTATAATTAGCATAAATCCCTTCCAGCTTTTCCCTAAGCTTATTCTTGAACTTACTAGTTTTGTCTTATGTTAAAATGAATGTGACAGCATTAAAGCTAGAAGAGATTTAGAATCAGTATAGAATAATGGAAAATACTGGATTTGAAGTTACACACCATGCTCATTTCCATATCTACACTTTTGTTTATTCTGTCCTTTCTTGCCTAGAGACCTCTCTCCATTTTTTCTCTTATTTGTTAAAATCTTATCATTTCAGACCCAACTCAAGCGCCATCTCTTCCAGGAAGTCTTGCTTAATGTCCCCTGCCCACACTGATCCCTTGTTGAGCTGCTGTATTTCTTACTGTTTGTACCACATAATTGAATCATGACCTGTCTTGTTCATTGCTGGACATGTGCAAGTCATGTCCATCCCCAAGACTAGGAGGTCCCCAGGGGAGTGAATGAGTGTCCTTGTCTTTCTCCACAGAATAGCCAGCACAGAGAGTCTAAGGAAGATTTAAATTTAGAATGTGCTTCTTTTATAGAGTGGAAGAAATCCTAGAGATGATTGGGAAATTGAAAAGAGATACATGCCTAGGGTCACACAGTGAGTCAGTGGCAGAGGCACAGCTAGAACCTAGATTTTTTAGCTCAGAGCCTAAAACTCATTCCCCTATACCATAGATTAGTGAATTTAGTGTAGCTGTGATCAAGAATAGGTATTTAACAGGACAGTGGTAGAGGACTTAAAGATGATGATGTGAACGACAGTAAAGAAGCTCAGCTCTTCCACTTAAACCCCAGCAAATAAGAACTCCATAAATACCAGTGATAAGAATCTGAAGGTCTTCTGCATTGGATAATGCAGAACTATACCAAAAGATATACTCCATCAGGAGTGGGTTGAGGTGTCTTACCAGGGAAGTCAGCACATGTTCAGGCAAGAATGGAATCCAGTGAAGGTGGTTAAGGAGTAATGCCAGAGAAGCCAGCTTAAATGTATATAACCCAATCAGAGGCCAGTAGAGCTGGGGACTAGAGCCATACCAGAGACATCCATGTGAGTACAGGTAAATGGGCCAGAAGCAGGTGGAGGTAAGGAGAGAGGCTATACCACACAAACCAGCACAAGTTTCCACAAGTGGGCGTGAAACCAACCATTTCTCTGAGTGGAATGAAGGTCAAGCTCTAATAATCAAGACCTGTAGCCAGATTCTGGCCCTGGCTAGTTAGAACATAATCAAGGATGGAACTTAGTCCAATAGATAATTATGAAGGGAGATGGGCCCTGTCCATGTATTCCTGGGAGACAATAGCATACAGAGCCAATTTGGCACCCAGGCACTGGCACTGGGGGGACTGTGCAGGAAGCCCTAAGCCAGGCCTGCGCAACATACGGCCCATGAGCGGTATATTGTGTAGGTCTGCTTTATTCAAATCCCTCAGCAAAACTGACTATGCATAGTTCCCTTAGGGCAGGCCTGCCCAAAATACCCCTTGAGACCCGCCAAAGGATTTTGGGAGGCCCACAAAAAAATGTAGAGGATATAAAACAGGCCTGCACAACACACTGCCTGTAGGCCATATGTTGTGCAGGCCTGCCCTAAACCAGTGTAATATCCAACATCTCAATAGAACCTCTCAGTGCCATAGCAGAAATGGAAAAAGACTGAGTTCAGCCAGGGCCAGAATCTGAAGTAGACCACTGGAAGATGAAGACAGAATCTCAGGATTGAGGCAGTGGGTGGGACCTAATGCTGCCACTGCATCTGAATTGGCAGTAACAGTGGCAGCCAGAATACAGAGGGGGCAGGAGCAAACACGGTCTGTTCAATCCATCTAGGAGTGTTACAGGCTTCTGCACAAAATTACACTGCAAGAACTGATGCTGGAATATGAGTAAACAGGAAACCAAATACAATGTAGAAAAATTGAATGAATCTTAAGGAAAAGCCAGAATAAGAGTGTAATTCCACAATGTCCTCAGAATAGACAGTGGCTACTAGGAGTACTAGAATGGATGAAATAAATAAAATAAGAGATAAAAAATTCAATTAGAATTTGGAAGAAGAAAATTGAAAAGAGAATAAATAGCTTAGAACAGAAGGTGGAAAGCCATACCCAAGTAATGGACACCTTGAAAAATAGAATGGAGCAAGTAGAACGTCATGAAGCATCAAGAAATAGTAAAAATGTTGGAATTACTGAAAAACATAGAAAAAGATTGGAAAAAAATAAAAATAAAAGATACATGCTTTCAAAAATAGCTAATCTGAAAAAGAGGACAAGGAGTGAGAAAAGAATCATCAGACTTTCTGAAAATCATGATTAGGAAAAAAAAAAAAAACCTTGACTACCAAAATTCACAAAATCCTAAGTAAGACTGCCCAGATCTTTCAGAACCAGAGAACTAAGTGATGCCATTAGCCACCTTCAAAAAAGAAACTCCAAACTGAAAACATCCAGGAATATAATAGACGAAATGCAGAGCTTCCAAGTCAGTAAAAAAGGGAGTAGTGAGAAAGAGTTCAAGCACCTAAGAATCAAAGGATCATACAAGACTTGGCAGCAACTACCTTGAAGGATAGGAAATCTTGGAAAATGAAATTTTTAAAAGACAAATTAAAAAGGTTTACAATTAAGAATAAGTTTTACCCTGCAAAACTCAGTATTAACCCTAAAAGGGGTTGGGGTAGGGTAGAGTGGGAATGGACCTTTAATAGAATAGAGAATTTTCAGGCATTGCTTTAAAAATTTTAAGTAGAATCTTGCAAGTGAAACCCTGGAGATGAGAGAAACATAGAAAGGTTAACTACCTTTGAGCAATTAGAAGAGTATAAATAATGATGAAGTATATAAAGTTTTTGTTTAATGGAGAAGAATATAAGTAAATAACATCATTTATGAATATGAATAGATATAAGGTACTAGATCTGGTAGATAGAGTACCTGAAGAACCGCGGGCAGAGTTTGCAATGTTGTACAGGAGCCAGCAAAAAAAAAAAAAAAATTCCAAAGAAAGAGAAGAGCAAGAGAGCAAAATGGCTGTCTAATGAGACTTTACAAATAGCTGAGGAAAGAAGAAAAGTAAAAGGGAAAGATATACCCAACTAAATGCAAAATTCCAGAGAACAGCAAGGAAAGATAAAGTTTTCTTAAATGAGCAATGCAAGGAAATCAAAGGAAACAGTAGAAGGAGAAAGACAAGAGATCTCTTCAAGAAAATTAGAGATATCAAAGGAAAGTTCCTGCAGAAATGGGTATGATAAAAGGCAAAAGTGGTAAGGATTTAAGAAAAGCAGAAGAGATTAAGAAGAGGTGGCAAGAATACACAAAAGAACTATACAAGAAAGATCTTAACATCACCAATAACCATGATGGTGTGGGTACTGATCTGGAGCCAGACATCCTGGAAAATGAAGTCAAGTATGCCTTAGGAGGCATTGCTAACAATAGGGCTAGTGGAGGTGATAGAATTCCAGTTGAGCTATTTAAAACCCTAAAAGATGATGCTATTAAAGTGTGTTAAAGTATTAAATATGGCAGCAAATTTGGAAAAACCCAACAGTGGCCACTGAATTGGAAACTATCAATGTCCCACTCCTAAAGAAGGGCAGTGCCACGGAATGTTCAAATTAGCAAACATTTGTGCTTATTTCATACACTAGTAAGGTTATACTTAAGATTCTACAAGCTAGGCTTCAGCAACATGTGAACCAAGAATTACCAGAAGAGTAGGATGATTTTTGAAGAGGCAGAGTAACTAGAGAATTGCCAACATTCACTGGATTATGGAGAAAGCAAAGGAGTTAAAGAAGAACATCTACTTCTGCTTCATTGACTACACTATAGCCTTTGACTGTGTAGATTACAACAAAATGTGGCAAGTCCTCAAAGAGATGGGAGTACCTGATCACCTTACTTGTCTCATGAGGAACTTGTATATGGGCTAAGAAGCAACAGTCAGAACTGAACATGAAACAACTGATTGGTTTAAGATTGGAAAAGGAGAACAACAAGGCTGTATATTGTCACCATATTTATTTAACTTATGTGCAGAGTACATCATGCAAAGTGCCAGAATTAAAGTTGCCAGGAGAAATATCTAGTCTCAGATATGCAGATGATACCGCTTTGATGGCAGAAAATGAAGAGAAATTAAGAAGCTTCTTGATGATGGTGAAAGAGGAGAGAGTAAAAGTTTGGCTTGGGGGCAGCTAGGTGGTGCAGTGGATAGAGCACCGGCCCTGAAGTCAGGAGGACCTGAGTTCAAATCCAGCCTCAGACCCAACACTTGACACATACTAGCTGTGTGACCTTGGACAAGTCACTTGACCCTACTTGCCTCACTAAAAAAAAAAAAAGTTGGCTTGAAACGTAACATAAAACACAAAGATCTTGGCAATTGATCCCATCACTTCCTGGCAAATAAAGGGAAAAGAAATGGAAACCGTATCAGATTTTATATTCTTGGACTCAGAGATCACTACAGACAGCAACTGCAGCCATGAAATTAAAAGATGTTTGCTCCCTGGAAATGGCAAATCTGGACAGCATACTAAAAAAGCAGAGACCTCACCTTGTTCACAAAGGTCCATATAATCACCGCTCTGGTTTTTCCAGAACAATGTATGGCTGTGAGAGTTGGATTGTAAAGAAAGCTGAGCACCGCGGAATTGATGCTTTTGAATTGTGGTGCTGGAGAAGACTTTTGAGAGTCCCTTGGACAACACGGAGGTCAAATCACAAGATCAAATCAGTCAATACTTAAGACATTAATTCAGGCTATTCACTGGAAGGTCAAATACTAATGCTGAAGCTTAAATAGTTTGGCTACATAATGAGAAGATGGGAATCATTGGAAAAGATCCTGGTGCTGGGAAAGATTGAAGGCAAAAAGGAAGAAGGGGATGGCAGAGGATGAGATGGATAGATATGGAAACAATGAACGTGAACTTGGACAGACTTCAAGAGATAGTGGAGGATGGAAGAGCCTGGCATGCTCTGGTCCATGGGGTCATAAAGAGTCAGACATAATTGAACAACTGAACAACATCAATCATCTCAGACAAAAAAACAGTAAAAATTGATTAAAAAATAAACAGAGAAACTTAAAGATACCATAGCTGACAAAATAACTACATTTAATATATGTGTACCAAATGTCAGAGTTTTTAAGTACTTGAAGGAAAAGTTAAACTATAAAGAGCAAAACTCTAATATTTGGTGACATCATTTTGCCCCTTTGAAAAAAAGTTAAGTACATGAATAGAATTTTAGGAAAATTAAATATGATAGATCTCAGATAATGACAGAAAGGGAATATTAACCATATTAAAGACGTAAAAACCCCACTAAAATGCAAGAAATCATAAGTATGAAACTTAAGAGATTTTTAAAAATTGATATATAATAAAACTAGGTTGAAAAACAACTAATAAACTTTTAACTAATCTGATTTTTAAAAAACAAACCAAATTGCTAGCATTAAAAATGGAAAGAATTCACAACAAATGAGAAAATAAAGGAAATTATTAGGAATTATGTTAATCTCATATGCCAATAAAATTGATAAATGAAATAAATGGTGAACATTACTAAAAATATAAAAATGCCCATATTAACAGAAAATATAAATAAAAAATGCTGGCATTAACAGAAAAAGGAATAGAATTTAAATAATCCATCCTCAGATAAAGAAATTGAACATGCTATAAAGGAATGCCCCAAAAAACCAGGATCTGTTAAATTTGAGTGAATGCTATCAACCATTCAGTGAATCAGTTCCAATATTATGCAAAATATTTACAGAAATAGGCAAAGTAGGGAACCTACCAAATTCCTTCTGTTAGATAAATATGGCCCTATTACTTTATCTTGGAAGACACAGAGGGAAAAACAAAAGTTTAGACCATTATTCCTAATAAACATTGGTACAAAAATATTGAATATAATACTAGTGAAGGGATTACAAAAACATATTATACAGATTATACACTATGACCAAGTTAGGTTTTACACAAGGAATACAGGATTGGTTCAATATTAGGGAAATTGTAAACATTATAGATCATATGTGACACGCACAACCTATAATACTCCCCTTATTTTAATAACATTTTAAAAATAAGAACAAATGGAACATTCCTCAATATAAATTAGTGGGAAAACATTGATTAAGTATTTACTTTGTGTGGGGAATATAAATAGAAAATCAAGATAGTCTCTGATTTAAAGGAGCTCACGTTGTCATAGAGGGAGATAATAGATCTTTCAGCTTCAGGGCAAATGGAAGGGTCAATCTTTCGATGCTGTGGCAAAAGAGATCATAATGCAGCTGCTTTAGTGTCATTTCCATTGATAAAAACCTCCTTATCGGATTTGAACCATTTGATGATGTCAAGGACTTTGACATGGAAAACTTTTAGTTCTGAGTTTTCTGTAGCTGTGACTTCTGAGGAGATGGGAGCTACAGCACAGCTGCAGAGTCAGTTGGAGGTCATATCTCTACAAGGATTTCTTCCTTGGTCATTGATTACAGGAGACTGGCTAAAAACAAGGCCAATAACCTAGGTTGCTCCTATTCCCAAGGCCCTTGGTCTTATCTACCTGTTGGTGGTAATTACTCAACTGTTGGTGATGGCAGAGCTGGCAAGCCCCTTCTCCACAAGGGTCGCCCCTCTCCATGATGGCTGTAGGGGCTGGGTTGGAGCTGAGGGGTATGCTACAGGAACCTGATTTGGCTCCACTGGGGTGCAAGGAGAGGTGGTGGTCAAAATTGTAGCTATGGCTTGATGGGTCTGGCACATACTCCCTCCTGTCTCTTCTTGCATCTGTCACATGCAGAGTTTGACATGAGGCGTGTTTGTATTCCCACCCCTTCACCAGGGAGAGATTGGCACCTACTGTACCCAGTATCAGATTACCCACTCTATACACCTATACTCACTCCCCAGGCTCTGTTTCAGTCCTCTGCTTGCCAGCCCTAGCTCCAACTTTACCTTTTACATACCTGTCCCCAGGTACCTCATCAGCATGAGGCTGGACATCATGCTTATTTGTCACCCTCTCTCTCATCCCCCATCATCTCTCCAGATTTGAATGACTGCTTCCCTGACCCATGTCATAATGGAGGCCACTGCATTGACCTGGTGAATGATTTCTACTGTGAATGCAAAGATGGTTGGAAGGGCAAGACCTGCCACTCACGTAAGTTTAGTTTTCTTAATCCTCTACCTTCCCCATTCTTCATTCTCCCTCCTTGATCACCTGCTAAATTCCACAGTTTGGAAAATGAACTTTGAAAAGAATGTGTAACTGAGATCATTCCGGAAGTGTAGTGATGGTTATATCTGGAACATTGGGCTGTGGATATGGCCCTTCCAGAGCCGGGGGTCCAGGACAGAGCTATAGAGGTAAATGGAAATTGGGGTAAAAACTGACTTCTAGTCGACCTTTCTTGGAAATTCTGCGGGGATACCTGGAGACAGACAGATGGTGCCTGATTCCCTTTGCCTCTAGAGAAGGTGAGATAGTGGAAAAGTGGCTCTCTTAACTGCTAAGACCAGAGAGAACCTGGATTACTGCGAGTTGTTTGTCTGTACTGAGGCCGGACTGTCTCCTTAAAATTCACAGAAATGATATGGATATCAATCACAGAAAACACTTATCTCTAAATTTACTGACTCCTCTGTTCTCATATTAGGCCTTCCTCCTTCCAATTCTACCTCTGGTCCCTGACCTAAGTCTTAGGGCAGCATGGTCCTTATTCTGCCCAGAGCAGACCTGAAAATTTCTCTCTTCCATTAACCATCTTTAACTACTCTGTAATCATCTTCTGTCTCTATGTAGCCTGCCCTCACTCTAAGGCAATAGTATAGAATTAAGACACATCACCTCACAAGCTCTGTCAAATTTTTTTTTTTTTTTTTACTGTTAAACCATTCTGTTCTACATGGTGTGTGATAAGCTTCCCTTACTCAGGGATTTATTTTACACAGGGCATAGTAAACCCCATGGTTATGACATCTGACGCCCTGTCCTGAGGGAATTGGAGAGAGGAAATCTGGGGCCAGTGGCAAGGAGGGATGCCTGGTTCCATGAGACTTCAGTGGCCTAAAAAGATTACCTGAACCTCCAACACAGTTGTAACTACAAAGCTAGACATTTCATTTCATCTTTTTAGCCACCTCTGAGATTTTCTTTGGTCTTAAAGGGGAACTGTGTGAGAAGATGTGGATGTCTCAGTGCAGCCTGGATCCTATTTTAACAATCAAGTATAGATTAGGAGAACCTCCCACTAATCCAGAGAATAGCAGGCTAAACTCTGGGGTTGCCCTATAGGTTATAGACCAGATTGACAGCCTTCTAGTGGCATGCCAGTACTAAGCATGTAATGTTTGTTCCCAGGTGAGTACCAGTGTGATGCCAACACATGCAGCAACGGCGGCACCTGTTATGACAATGGAGACACTTTCCGATGCATATGTCCCCCAGAATGGAAGGGCAGCACTTGTAACACAGGTACCTGGGTGGGATGGGGTAGGCAAGTCTTGGTGGGAGGCTTGGCTTTGAGGTCTGACTGGAAGGTGGGAGGCTTGGCTTTGAGGCCTTATTCATTAGATTATAGAATTTAGAACTAGTATGGATTGTAGAGATCAAATCCAATTATTTTATTTTTAGAAGAGGAAACTGAGACCCAGGACCCATAGAAGGAAAGAGACTTACCCAAAACCAGAATTGAAATCCACATCTCTCACCTCCATGTCCATTGTTTCTTTTTTTTTTTAATTGAGTGTCCTTACCTATGATTTCATTGATGTGAAGAGCATTTTCAATTGATGCAGACTGACAAATTTTCTGTGCCTTAGAATCTAAGTATTATCTTAAGCACTGAGAGGTTAAATTACCTGGCCAGTGACATGGCCAGTATGTGTCTGAGACAAGACTTGGACCCAGGTCTTGATGCCAAGGTCACTCTGTACCATTACCACATTGCCTCTTCTCCTTTCATAACACCATATTGTTTTTCCCCTCGTCATGTTCACTGTCTGTCCATCACTGTTGTGTATCTTTGGGAAGACCTTTGCCTTTTCAGAGTCTTATGTAATTCATCTGACACCACAGGGGCCTATGTTAGGAAATTAAATTCAGGCAGTATTCTGATATGCCTCCTCCTTCTCTGCCTTTCTAAACCCAGTACCTCTTTCAGAGTCCTGCTCAAATCCAACCTGCTTTAAGAAGCCTTCCTTGGGGGCAGCTCGGTGGCACAGTGGATAGAGTACCAGCCCTGGAGTCAGGAGGACCAGAGTTCAAATCTGGCCTCAGACACATAACACTCACTAGCTGTTTGACTCTGGGCAAGTCACTTAACCCCAGTTGCCTCACCATAAAAAAAAAAAAAAGGAAACCTTCCTTGATCACTCTGGATTGTACTAGTCTCTCCTTTATAAGCTTCTGAAAATAATTCTAAACCATAAAGTTGTGGTCTGAACTGCTGATAATTCAGTACTTAACAATGTCCTGCATTTTTTTCCTTGTTTGTTTTGTGACTTGGTCCTAGAAGTATAGACTTTCAGAGCTAAAAGGGACTGAAGAAACCTAGCTAACATTGGAACTGTCATTTCTCTCTTGGACATTGTACTATTAATGGGGCCTACTCCTGGGTCTCCCTATCCCTATCCTTAGATTGAGGCTCCACTTCTCTCGGATAATAACCCCCAGTTTCTAAATGTTCTCATGACAGGATTTGCCTAGCTAAAACATGTACCCAAGACCCAGGTAGTTCTTGAGGAAGTATAGTATGTTGGATGGAGCCCTGGAGTTGAAGTCAGAAGACTCAAATCTCAAGATGCTTCTTAGTTGGGTGACTACTAAACTTAGTTGGCCCCCATGGGCCTGTCACTTAACCTATAAAAATTTGTTTCCTCCTCCATAAAACGAGAAAAATAATGTTTGTACCACTTGTCTTAGGGTAGTTGTGAGGAAGTTGTTGGCAAATCTTAAATTGCTATATAAAGTGGAGGTCATGTTATTCCTTCTTTGACTTCCTACCTCTGCCATAGCTAATCAAGAGCCAAGCACACAGGCTGTGTATGATGTGTTACCAGGTTGATTTAAGATACAGCAGAGATCCTGGACTTAAAATATTTAGAGCTGGAAAGGGACCTTAGAAATTGAGGAATTTAAAAAAGGGGGGGGGAAGATAGTTATATAATAACTTTATTATATATTTAAAAGGAATAGTAAGTTGTACATAATAGATGTGCAGTTTTAAGTGCAATCATTTTTTCTTATTCTGCTGTGTTATGGAAATGCTTGTTTTATTTCATAAATTAAAAATAAAATAAATTCGAAAAAATTATTAAGTCCAACCCCTTGATTTTTACAAATGAGGAAATTGAAAGCAAGCCATTGGTAACCAAGGTTTTCGGGTAGAGGCTATGACTGGCTCCTCACTTCCTTTTCCTGGTGTATACATCAAAGCATCACAGAGTCCTCTGTCCATATCTCTTCAATTCCCCATCCCAAGAGGATGCATAGACCTATGAAGTGGTGATGTCTAGTTTCTACTGCTCCAAATGTGACAAGGTAGAAAGAACAATGGATTTGGAGTCAGGACCTGGTTTGGAATCCTGTCTCTGCCATTATAATATGTGTGATCTAAAACAAGTCTCTTGACTTCTCTGAGATTTAGTTCCTTCATCCTTCATTGAATAGGCTAATGATCTTTAAGTTCCCTTTCAGTTCCAGAGCCCTTGATCTGGAATTAAAGTGTGACAGGGCTGGGCAGATCAGATAGAGGGGCTGTGAGGACTCTGTGGCCCTCTTCTTTTCAGGAAACTGAAATATTTCTTCCCTCGTAGCCAGGAATAGCAGCTGTCTCCTGAACCCATGCATGAATGGCGGCACATGTGTGGGCAGTGGCGATTCCTTTTCCTGTATCTGCAAAGATGGCTGGGAAGGCCGCACATGCACCCAAAGTAGGTCTAGACCTTTTTCTCTTCCTCTTTCCTATATCATCTCCCTCCATCTCACTGCACCACTTTGGTCCCTATGCGGAATAGGGGAGGGGGACAGACAATACATTTAAGGAAAAAGCCCCCTAACCTTGGATTAAACTTTGATTTTTTTCCACCCTCACCCCTTGGCAGTCTCATTACAAAGAATAAATTTTAGAATCTGGTTGCATGAGGTCCGGGAAGGCTGTCAAGACTCCCAATGCCATCCTAATCTTCCCAGAGAGGGCTACCATGGATGTTGTCCTTGCTATTGAGAGGCTTTACAGAATCGTCAAATCCTAACCCTGTCCCCCAAAATATACCATAATCCTAACTGACTCCCATAAATGTCCCTAGAATCTGACATCATTTTTGGTGAAGTGCCCTCTAGCTGTCTTACCAAATCCTAACTTGGAACCATTTGTGGCTTTTAGACTACCTATTGACCTTTCCTCCCTCGTGGTGATGGCAGCAGTAAATTGGTAGACTAAAATAAACAGTGGTTCAATAAAGGCATATGTATTCAGGAGGGCAGAGAGGTACAGATAACAAAAATGATGACTTCATTTTCTTGTGGTTGTGGTTCAGTCGCTTTCAATTGTATCTGACTCTCCATGATCCCATTTGGGGTTTTCTTAGCAAAGATACTGGAGTAGTTTGCCATTTCCTTCTTCAGCTTTTTTTTATAGATGAGGAAACTGAGGCAAACAGGGTTAAAAGATCTATGCCTTTCCTCAGTTTGAAGGCAGAAAGGTGATCCCTCTGGGGGGTGGTCTGAGGTCTGACTCATCCATCTGGACTTAGTTTTTCCTTCACCATCCCACTAACCCCTGGCAGCCCAAGTCAAGAAAAAGCCACTTCATTCTAGATTTATGCTGATCCCACTCCCCTACTTTCTCACAACCAAGAGCCACAACCCACCTCCCCATTGGAGGTTCACTCTACTTTTTTGGCTTGGGTTATTCTTTGGTTTAGGTGCTAGACACTAATGTAATATTCCTGGAATGCCGTTCCCAGCACCAGGAGTTATGAGAATCCATCCTAAGGCCTGGCACAGATTGCTTCCAGTTCATGGAAAGAACCACAGAGGGAGGGGGCTTAGTCTAATCTTGTCTGTACCTGAACAAGAATCCCTTCTACCATACACTCTACACACTCAACAAATGTTCCTCCAGCATCTACCTGAAGATCTCAACTAAGGAGAATCTCATTTCTGCCCCAGGCATTCCATCCCACTTTTAGGTAGTCCTGAGTATCAGAAAGTTTTTCCTCATACTCATTTAGTACCAGAGTAATGTACCAGGGTCTTCCCTGCTTCCCAAGGAAGACTTTAGGACCTTTGGCAAAGATTCTTAGGTCCTTGAGGGGAGGAACTTCTTACCTTTTTGGGTCTCCACTGCTGAGCACAGATCATTGTTCGTAGGAAGAGCTCAGTCATTATTTGGTGACTGTTCTGTCCCATAGCTTGAGCTCCCTCACCACTAAAAAACCAGTCTCTCACACTTCTTTCTCCATTATCTTTTCTCTCTCTTTCTTTCTCAGATACAAATGACTGCAATCCTCACCCCTGGTGAGTATCCCTGGGTTAGCTTATGGGGAGGTGGATCTTTGGGGAAAGCTTCTAACAGGTAGGGGGATTAGCCCAGAGTTATTAGTCAAGAATCCTCCTTGAGCAAGGGTTTCCCCAGAAGAGCAGAACTAGGGTCCTCTGCTCACAGGGGGAAGTATGTGACTTAATTAACACAGGCTTAATTAGAAAGAATGCTAACATAGTGGCTTATTATGAAGAGAAGTATCCAGGAAAGAACACTATTGGATGAACAGTGAATGGAGACTAGGAATTTGCAAATGAAGAACAACATAAGAAGCAAGCGTTGTTGGGAGGAAGGACCAGCTAGTGGTTCCTGCAGCCTCGGGATTGGTCTGATGGTCATGGGGCTGGGGGCTGTGTTTTGCAGCTACAATGGAGGCATCTGTGTTGATGGAGTGAATTGGTTTCGTTGTAATTGTGCCCCAGGGTTTGCTGGTCCTGACTGCCGAATCAGTAAGTATGAGGGCATAAACAGGGTGGGTGGGGATGTTGGCCTATGAGGAGCGAGAGGGATGGTATATCTGGGTCAGAAATGACAGGCAGGAAGATGCCCTGCCTGATTGCACTATCCCTTCCTCTCTCTGGGCTTTAACTTCTTTTTCCAGGTAATTTTAACGTCCCTTTCAGCTCCGTAATTTGCATCGTAGGGTATTTGACAGATCTAGTCCCCCCACACCCGATCTTTGCAAAGTGGCAAAGAGCTCACTATTAGAAGAATTAGGGGCGTAGACTCCAGACCCAGTTTTGTGACTAACTAGGAATTTCACTTCTTTTCTGGATCTCATTTTATTCCTCTGAAAAAGAATAAGATTGTACTGAGTGATCTCTAAATATTTTAGCAGCATGATGCCTCTTAGTTGTTTCCCTTAATAGTATCTGCCCACAGTAGGGCTCAGGGAGTATTTATATAATCAGCTTTCCCATTTGTGCCTTGTTTTATGGTTGACAGAGCAGTTTCATTGGATCCACACATCAGCCCCAATAGAGTGGTGGTCCCAGACTCTCACTTAGTGAATTATAGCATGCTTGAATTAGAAGGGACTGCAGAGCTAACTTCGTCCAGTCCCTTTATTTTATACACGAGGAATCTGAGGCCAGAGAGAAGGACCATGTCCCAGCTTACAAAGTAAATTAATGGAAGACTAAGGCTGGAGTTCTGGTGATATAGCAGCAGGAACACAGGAGACCTGGGTTAGAATCCTGACTCTCCCATAATATCCATAAGCTGTGTAACCTTAGGCAAGTGGTTTCCTCTCCTCTGGGCCTGTTTCTTTCCCTCTTAAATGAGGGGGTTGCATTAGGTGATCTCTGAGTGGCACTGGCCTCCTTCTGTTCCTTGCACATGGTGCTCCCTTTCACAGCTCTGGGCAGTTTCAACTGGCTGTCTCCCATGCCCTGAATGCGCTCCCTCCTCATTTGTTTCCTGGTCTCCCTGGTATCCTTCCTGTTCCACCTAAAATCCCACCTTCAGGAAGTCTTCGTTCATCCCCCTAGTTTTAGTGCCTCCCCTCTGTAGATATTTTCCAGCTTTCCTATCTATATCTTGCTTGTAGTTGCTTTCATCTTGTCTCCCCTGTTAGACTCTGAGCTCCTGGAGAACAAGGATTATCTTTTGCCTTTCTTTGCATCCCGTTTTTAGCAGTGTACCTGACATATAACAGGAGCTTAATAATTTTTTGGGGGGGGTGAGGCAGTTGGGGTTAAGTGACTTGCCCAGAGTCACACAGTAAGTGGTATGTGTCAGAGGCCGGATTTGCATTCAGGTCCTCTTGAATCCAGGGCCAGTGCACTATTCACTGCACCACCTAGCTGCCCCTTAATAAATGTTTATTGACTTACTATTAACTCAGTTTATTAACTGGGCTTACATCTTGTGATCCTGATTCCCAGTTGTCTTAAATAATCTTGGTGGATATGATTGAGAATGGTTGTTCAGCACAAAGGTAGCAGGCCCCTAGAGAAGGCTATGTGTCCTAGGAGCTGTGGTCTGGTTCCCATATGCACACAGGCCTCCACCTGACCCATCATTTGCAGCAAGCTCGCCCTTCCTTCCTTCCTTGGGTTGGTGCAGCAGCCATGCACGTGTCCTTCTCAGGACTGGTTGGCCTTGGTCAGGTGCTGGACTCGGTGTCCTTGGGGCTGAAGATCCTGATTCCCCTGGTGAGGGTAGAAAGTACAAGGCCAGATGGGAAAGGGGGAGGGTAAAGGCTCAGATAGGCAGGTCCTGCATTATTAAAATGAGGGGCTAAGTTACACTGACAAGGCCTGTCAGCTGTGTGTTTTCAAAACCTTTCTCTCACTGCATCCAGAAAACCTGAGAGGTGAAGGGTCCTTAGATGTAATCTAACTCTTGTTCCCTCATTGTACTGCTTATGGTCCCAGGGCAGAGCCAGGGCTCCTGAGAGCTGGAGGCTTACCACTGTGAGGGAGTATGAGAACAGAAGGCCTATGGCCTCAGGCCCCAGAACTCTACAGCTTCTTGTTTTAGAATGAGAATCAGATCCTCCCACATTAATCCCCACCCTTTTTCCTGGGAAGTGACCCGGTTATGTGTGACTGCCCATAGGGTCTGACTTCCCTTTATGATAACCTTCACTCTATCTGACTCTGCCTCAGTTTGCACAGTTGTTCCCATGAGTAGGTCATTCTATCCCTCTCACCCTCAGTTTCACCTGTGAAATGAGCATCATACTTCTACAACTTAACCATCTCCTCCTGCCCAACCCTCTGCCCTCCAGCATTCTTTTGAGAAAAGTGCTCTGTTAAACTTCTTTAGAAATGAGAATTGTTCTGTTTGTCATGCAGACATTGATGAATGCCAGTCCTCCCCATGTGCATATGGGGCCACATGTGTGGATGAAATAAATGGGTACCAGTGTATCTGTCCTCCTGGGAGAGCTGGGCAGAGATGCCAGGAAGGTAAGTATTCAGATTACAAAGCTAGCCCTGGAGACACAGGTCCAGGAAACAGTGGAGTTTGAGGCTAAGAGGGGCAGCCTTCCTTTACCAGAGGCCTTCTTGTCCTGTGATTTTGCTGGCCACTGACCAGAATTTCGGTGAAGGGACAGGTCTGGTCTTGTGTCTTGTGTTTGCTTTTCAGTGACATTTTTTTAACAGACATTTTGGTTGAGCATAAATGTTTAACGTTTGTTTTCCTCCCTTCTCAGTGATTGGTTTCGGGAAATCCTGCTGGTCCCAGGGCATGCCGTTCCCACATGGCAGCAAGTGGACCGAGGAATGCAACACATGCCACTGTGTGGATGGTCGCACCGACTGCAGTACAGTAAGGAAGGGCCGTGGATGGGCACCGCCTCCCACACTCTGTCCCCATGTTATAGGATCATAGACTTAGAAAATGGGAGGATGGGTTTGAGATCACCTGATCCATCCCTTTCTTTTTTCTAGCTAAGGAAACTGAGACACAGAGATTGTTACTTGTCCATGGTTAAACCAGTAATTTAGTGGTGGGGCTGGAACTGGAACCTAGGCCTCCTTTTTAATTCTAGGCTTTTTTGCCATTCCTTGCTAGGTTCTGAGGCAAGTGGGCTTATGAAACACCTACAGACGACAGATTACATACAGAAATGGAGGCTTCCTTAGAAATCATCTAGGGCTAGGCTCATCCATTCACTTTATCATTAGAGAGAAAGAGACCCAGAACAGGGAAGGTGCTTGTAAGTAACAGAACCAGGACTCAAAACCAAATGCCCTGACTCGAAATCCAGGACACCGTCTCTACTGTACTACATGGGGATGGGTAGAAAAAAGAGGAGGTTGGAGGAAGGGCAGGTCTCTTAGGTTGCTGGATAAATAAAGTTCTTAACTTAGCTAGTAACTATGGTCATAGACTCCTCTCTCTACCTAGGGCTCAAAGACTTTCCATGAAGTGAAGGTAAAGTCAGAGTAGTTTGGCCAGAATCTTGTCAAGGGCACAGAATTCACCATAATATTTGAATGAGGACTATTATCATAAACATGGTACTGGTATTATTCCTACTACTACCACCACCACCACTATTAGGTAGCATCTACAAAGAACTTCAAGATGCTTTCCAAATGTTACTTCATTCGACTCTCACACCTGAGGGAAATACCAGACTTAAAAAAAATCCACCCTCATGTGGGATCCAGCAGGTTTGGAATATTGTTCTTATATTGCCTGTTAGGATAGTTATGAGCCCCTGGGGAAGTATCTCTCAGAAACCCTTCAAGACTTAATCTCTCTGGGCCTTAGTATCACTGTCAGTAAAATGAGGTTAGACTACTGGTCTTTAAGGCCCCTTCTAGTTCCAGGTCCAATTATAATGATTCCTAAGCTGTAGCCACTTAATTTAAACATCTTCATTCCATTAGATCTCACTGACACAAAAGAAATAGAGGTAATCTCCTGAAAAGGACCTGGAAGTTATTTTAATCATTAGTGAAGACACCAGTACTGATGTGTTTGTGTGTCTGTGACTATGTTTCTCCCTTCAGGTGTGGTGTGGAAGAAAGCCCTGTCTGTTACCCAGACACCCAGACTACACGGAGGATCAGTGTCCACGAGGCCAGGACTGCCTGGAGAGAGCCTACCACAAATGCCTTCAGCCTCCTTGTGCAGCTTGGGGGGAGTGCAGCCCAATGGAGCCCCTTGTCCCAAGCACCCCATGCCAGCCTAATTCTGGACACCTGGGGAATAACTGTGCCAAGATCACCCTCATCTTTAACCGGGACAAGGTACCCCAGGTAAGGTTACCCTATCCACCTAGAATTGATCCAGTTTTGAGCAGCCCTTGGGAATAGGTAGCTAGAATCTGTTTCAGTCTCACAGAATCACAGCCTTCCTGACTGGAATACTTCCAGTAACAGAGAGTTCATTATCTTAGGCAGCAGTGCTTTCCATTTTAGATAGACTAGTTCTTAAGAAGTTTTTCCTGACGTCAAGCTGAAATCTGCTTCTCTATACCACTCATTGCTTCTAATTCTATCCTCTGAGCACAAACAAATTTAATCATTCTTTCCTTGGAAGGTCCTTCTGAGATCTAAAGAAAGAGATCAATTATATCCTAACCTCCTCCTCCCTGGACACAGGTTGGATGATAGAACTTATTTCAGAGTTCTGCTTTTCTGTCAGAGCCAGTTGTGAATAGATAGGCATACATGGGTTACCATTTACCCTTTAACTTTTGGGACCTCCTGTTTCCAATGGCTTTTACTAGTAGTGCCCTTGCCCTCAGAATATGTGAGATCTTTAGCAAGAGAAAAGACTCGCTTTATTTTCACTCTCTAGTATTTCTTTTATTATTTATTATTAGTAGTTTATTTATTTTCACCCTTGCTAACTGGCAAAGGGCAGGTTTCATTTTGTCACTGACTCTTTTTTTCCATTTGAGAATTTCTTCTAAGGTTTGGGAAAAGAATGAAATAGCCAACTTGGCATTTTCCATTTTGCCACTTTTTTTAATATGAGAAAAATAGTAATAGCTCCCTGGTACTTGAATGTTTACAGAGTCCATTTCTCATAACTGTATGAAGTGTGGATGCAAGGATTACTGTCCTCATTTTACACTGAGTCTTAGGGTGGTTTAAAGTGTTTTGCCCATGGTGACACAGTTCATAAATTGAGAAGCCAGAATTTGAATTCAGGTCTTCCTCTAAACTAATTCTCTTTCCACTATACTACACATCACGTGACTTGCTTTCTCATTGTCCCTGTCTCTTCATATGTGCATCACTAATACATTTGTATGGTACTTCATAGTTACAAAGTTCTTTCATGGCCAGTATCACATAGGATCCTCACGATAATGGGAGGAAATTTGGGAGAAGGGTGGTAGTGATTTTGAAGATGAGGAACACAGAATCTTCATTAATTAGATTGGATTTCCCTAATATATTGTTTGGGACCATGAGCCCTGATGCTCAGCTGATATTGCCCTTTTGTTCTCTGTGGAACAAGGATTTGTTGGACCCATTAGAGTATAAACAAGATTGTAAGAGAAATGTTTTAAGAACTTCTTCCTGGCATCTTAGCAGTGTTTTGTGTCATCTCACACAGGGTGATTACTTGGGAGCAGAAGTCAGAATTGCTTATGCCTGTTATAAGATTTGTGATGATTCATTTACATCTCTTCATTAAAGCAGGACCACTGTGTTAGGTCACTAACTTCCCTATTTAGCACAGGGCTGAGACCTTTATTAGAAAACAGTCTGTCATTCAGACTGTTCATATTGCTAAGACATCTCCTAATTAGCCTGAAGTAATGAGATTTTGCTAAATGTGGAAGTCTGCATGTAAAAACATCCCTGTTTATCCTCAAAAGGACAAGATTGAAAAAAGCATTAAGGTGCCAATCAAATGCTCTAAGGATTTTAGCTCTGCTTATGAACATCAAACTCCTGCCCATAGTAACTAATTGAACTGCTATTCCCAGAGCTGGAAGGAACCTTCCAGAGGCTAGCTCTGAGGTGGCCACTCTCACACCTAGTGGATGTTCATTCAGCATCTCCTTTAAGGCCTCCGGAGTTGGGGAACCTCTTATGGCAGAGGGAGGGCAATGGTTCTGGAATCAGAGGACGAAGGTTCAGATTCTACTTCTGATTGTCTCTTACACAGTGACCTTGGCAAGTCACTCAACCCCAGGGCCTCAGTTTCCTCATCTGTAAAATGAAGGAGTTGCACTAAAGAACTCTAGAGCTATGATCTTTCGTTAGGAAACTGTTCTTTGTATTGAATGAAAATCTGCTTTCCTATAACTTCTCTGCTTATAGCGTCACTGGACTTTCTTTCCATGGGGTGAAGGCCATGTGCTATGGCAGATCACCACTTTTCTCCCCTCCCATGCCTGACACATCACTTTTCACCCTTAACGAGCACCTACTTTGTCTGGTGCCTGCCCGGAAATGGATCATTCAATGGGTGATTAATGCTTGTTGGATGAAATGAGGACCCAGTGAAAGAAGCCGATCTATATTCCTTGTCCTCCAGTAGCTCCCAGCCTAGAGAAGAACACAGGACAAATGCTTGTTGTACCAGCATATGTGGATTACAGATATGCTTAAATTGTACACAGTGACTGTTCTTCTGAAAAGTTGTATGTAAGCCGTATTATTTTGGAAATCAAGTCATTTATACATTCTAGAGACTTGTATACTCACATTGGAGCCACTTTATTCCAGGTAAGCAGTAGGATAAGGGATTTTAGAACTGGAAAAATGTTAGAGGTCTTCAGGTACACCCCTTCATTTTATAGAAGAGGAAAGGGATCCTCCTCCCTGCCTCCCCTCTCCCCCCAGACAAGAGAAGTCACAAGTCATTATAAACAAAAACATCATATTATAGCTCTGTGTCTCTGTTCCTGCCTCTCCCAGCCTTACTGGTGAGTAGCTTATGGTCAATAACAAATCCTCAAAGATACCCAGGAGCGACCATTTATGCTAGCTTCCCAACATAGTGTTTAGATTCTGCATCCTCTCCATCCTAGGCTTTGCATGGTCATCGATGGGAAAAGGCATGGCTGTGGATGCCTGGGGACTAATCTAGTCTATTAGTCTATTAGACTCTTTCTGTCTTGTCCTGACTCTCACTCTCATCTTTCTGACCCCAGGGCACCACAGTGGGAGCCATCTGCTCAGGGATCCGCTACCTGCCAGCCACACGGGCAGCAGCACGGGAGGGCCTACTGGTTCTGCTGTGTGACCTGTCGGCCTCCACGGAGAATGCTGTGGAAGTTGCCATTGTGAGTTCCCTAGGACCTGGAGGGAGGGGAGAATGCAAAAACAGCTGGAGCTGACATTGAGGACACCTATCCCTCCCAAATTTGACTTGCTTGACTTTCGAGTTTTCTGTTCTTCTGGATCATAGCATCCTGAAGCAGCCTAGGGTCTGTCTGTCTGGGGTTCAGTAAGGGGGCAGGGTATATGGGGTGAGAAGATGAGATCAGTGGTCTTATAAATTTGAAACTTATGCATTTATTCAACAGATATTTAAGTACTGGCTTTGTACTCTGCTTGATGCTATAGGAGGTACAAAATTTAGATAAGACATGTTGCTTCCCAGGGAGTTTATAGTCTAGTAGGGGAATAAGATATGTATATACATTAGTATGTTAGTGAGGTATAAAGTGTAATATGAGATCAGAGAAAATCATTACCAGTGGGGATCAGGAAAGGCCTACTGGAGAAGGCAGCATTTGAGTATGGCTTTAAAAGATGGTTAGGAATTCAACAGATGAATATTAAATATAGTATATAGAACAGCTTGAGCATAGAGGTGGAAAAATGCAGGTTGTTTTTAGGGAGCTAAGAGTAGACTATTTTGGCTTAAGTATAAGGCATATAGGTCATCTGATATAATGTCATTTTATATATGAGAAATCTGTGGCCCATAGAGATTAAGTGACTTGTCTAAGATCCCTCATTGTTAAGTGGAAGAGCTAAAATTTCAACCCAGATCCTTTGACTCTAAATCTAGTGACTTTCTGCTCATTGTGCCGGCTCCTCAAAAAGTGAGGATAAAAGTAAAACAAAAGCAGGTTTAAAAGGCAGGGTAATGCTAGTAGAGTGCTGTGAATGCCTTGTAAAGGAATATGAAGTTTACTCAATAGATCATTGGGAGCCACTAAAGATTTTATATCAGAGGACGGATGTGAGCAGATCTTTGTAGAAGGAAGATTAGTCTGGTAGTTGTAATGAATTTGAGGTCAAAGAGAGTGAAGTTAAGAGGTCTTGTTAGGAAGCTATTGCACTAATCTAGGTGGATGGTAATAGGGGTCTGTACAAAGCCAGGAACAATAGGAATAAAAAGCCGGCTGTGGATGTGAGAGATTTTCTGGAGGTGAAATTCAAATAGCTGAGCTTGAGAGATGAGGGAGAGGGAAGAATCAGAGATAAAGATTTTTAGCGCAGGAGTCCTTGCAGAAAAAGGTGCCATGGAAGAGCAATGACATCATAACAGCACTGAGCTGGGACTGGTGTAAATGCCTGGTTATGCCAGCTTTGGCCATTCCTACTCTCCCGGCCAGGACTAAGCCCTGAGAGTGAAGACTTTAGCTGTTTTATGTCTGGAGACTAACTAGCCTTCCCAAAAGGTATGCGACAGATCAGTTGCGGTGGTGGCCTCTGTCAATTCTCCTTTTCTAGGGGATAAAAAAGATACAGATCTCAAAGAAAACATTTTGAGGACAGGCGGATTTAGATTTATAATAATTGCCTCACGCTCTTATAGGGATGACCCAAAGCTTTGTTATGGCCAGCAAGCCACACTGGGCATCTACTATTTCCAGAGTTTTGTACGAGACTTTCTGATGTAATTATAAAAAATTATAGAACGTTTAGTTATGAAAAAAAATGGATCTTCCGTACATCCAGCCCTGTGTTTTGATCATTGGTGAGTAAGATAAGAAAAAACCCAGGCCTTGCTTTGGGGCAATAAAGATAATAGATTTTTTTAAGCCTGGTGATGGTAGAGATTTTTTGTGGCTTGAATGGGCCACCAGACTCATGTTCTTGGTGTTGGAAGTTTGAATGATATCCTCACTATGTCCCACAGTCCTTCAGCCCACCCCGGGATGAACCAGACAACACCCTCATCCAGAATGCTGCAAATACCATCATCAGTGCCATAACCAAGCCAGAGAATAGCACGGTGCTACTTGCTGTTACCGAGGTCAAAGTGGAAACTGTTGTGATGGGGAACTCCTCCACAGGTGAGTCTGGGTGTGGATGCCCCAAGTACTTCTGGACACTTTCTTCAGACATTCAGTAAGCTGTCCCACATTGGAGTAGTTCTTTGAGTGCCTGGGAGATAACGTGAACTTTAGGTGACCCCACGATAAATTTCAGGTTCACCGTGAAAGATCTTTCAGGTTGAAGGGCATTTCTGGGATCTACTGAGTCCCAGATGAAAACACAATCACAGAATTTTGAAGTTTGAAGGGATGCAAGAGAATCCCCTCCAACGACAGGTCTTTTCTTGTTTGAAAACCTTGAGTAAAGGAGAACCCACCACATCCCTAGTCAATCCATTTTAATTTTGGATAGCTTTAGCTGTTGGAAAGTTTTTCTTTGCACCAAGCCTAAGTATGCTGCTCTTCAACTTTGTTGCTTCTAATTTGATTGCTTCTGGGGCCAGCTCTAGTTTCTTCTCTTCATGAAAGCCCTTTAAATGTTTGAAGATAGCTATCATCCAACACACATCTTCTCTTGTCCATGATATAAACATCTGTCTCTTTCAAATAGTTTTCATATGGTATGATCTTGAGACCATTACCATCCTGGTCATCCCTTTCTGGAGTTTTTCCAGCTTCTCAGTGTCTTTCCTAAAATGTGTCACCTAGAACTGAAAAAAAAATATTCCAGATATGGTCTGTATCCATATATAAATATAGTGGAACTACCATTTTCTTCATTCTGATCATCATTCTCTCTTAGGAATGCATTCTAAGGAGACTATTAATTTTTTTGACTTCCATATCATATACATTTTTAACTCATATTGAACATATGGTCCAATAAAACCACCAAATCCTTTTCAAATAAACTGCTGGGGAGAACTATCAGTTATTTTCCTATATTACATTTCTGAAATTGATCTGAATCCAAATGTATGATTTTACATTTATCGTTACTATATTTCATCTTATGGATTTGGCCTAGTGTTTTTTAGACTGTTGAAATATTTCTGGATCCTGACCCTGTCAACTAGCATGTTAGCTATCACACCCAAATTAATATCATCTGTAAATTTGGTAAGCATATCTTCTGTGAAATATAGGTTAAACTCTGCTTGTAGCATTCCTCTAGCCTAGCAACCCTGTCAAAAGAAGAAATGAAGTTAGTATGATGTGATAAAATGAATTTATCAGCAGTGGCTAGATCCCATTGTGTCTATATTTACCTTGGATTTCAGCTTTCTGTTGAGCCATTTTCACTCCTTCCACTGCCAAAAGCATGCCCTGGTACCAAAGACAAACACAAAATAAGAGTTGAGTTGTTTTGTGTTCACTGTACCATCTGTTAATATTCATCACATCCACCCAAGTAATGGTGCTTTTCTGATCTTGTTGCCAGCAAAGCTTATGGGTAGGGGGAGTGATGGAGGAGAAGAGAGAGCCCTATTTGTTGTCCTCAGCATTCATCTGGGCTTTAGCATTCCTGACACTGTTCTTATAAGACCATGTCATGTGTCTTCTTTTTATTCTGTCACTTGTCCTTGCTTCCATTTCTTTTTCCAGTCCAAGTGGTTTGATGAGGTCCCTGTGTGGCCACATTGTTCTCTTTTCACAATTCCTTCTTTTCTTCTTTGCTGGAATTGTTTTGGTTTGTTTTTTGGAGTTTTTTTAAGAATTCCATCCCATAGAATTGTAGGCTGTGACATAATTCTCCTTTCTTTTAACTCTTTGAAATCTCTTCTCTTAAGATCTGGGGTACATTGCCAGCTTCCTCTTCTTCTCTAAAGCAAATTCTAAGATTGTCTCTTCCTCCCCACTTACCTCAAGGCTCTAAGCCTTTCTATACTTGCCCCACCTTCCTGCATCACTACCTTACTGTGGCAGAGGGACTTTGCCTAGCTCGATGAAACTATGAGCTATATCATGCAGGGTTACCCAAGACAGACAAGTCATAGTGGAGAGTTCTGACAAAAGGGGATCCACTGGAGAAGGAAATGGCAAACCACTCCAGGATCTTTGCCAAGAAAACCCTATGGACAAAAAGGTCCACGAGGTCATGAAGAGTCAGACGTAGCTGAATGACTTAAAGAACATCCACCATCGCCACCTTCTGAACTATGAATTTGTCACTAAGACAAACCAAGAATTTACTAACTGCTCTGTTTATATTTTATTATACAATATATTATATATTATATGTTATCATATATGATATCTATTCCATAACATAGTATTATATCATCATATATTACATATAATCATATATTATATGTGATAATATAATACATTGTGTTGTGTATTATTACATTATAATATATGTAATAATATATGATATATTATATTACCATATTATTATATTATATCAGGCCAAACTCCTTGTCTGTTTCCTACTGATGTCTGAGTGAACTGTATTATACTCTTATAACAATGTTACTTCTGTTTCTTCCTCAGTTTACCTTCACCATGATGTTCTCCAGTAGGCTTCTTCTATTTAGTTTCTGGATTTCCTCACGTAAATCTGTCTTCCTAATGTACAGTGCAGCTTCATCCCCTTCCCTTTTACCTGTCCTGCATCTTTTGAATAAGGTACACCCTTCCAGAACCACATTGCAGTCATGAATCTTATCCCACCAAGTCTGAAAGATGTCTCTGTGGTTGAATTTGCTTCCTTAAGCAAATTCCTTAAAGGAATTCCTTAAAGGCTTCTTTTCACATTGCTTATTACCTGTACTTTGTGCTGCTTATCTGTGTTTGTGTGCATAGATACCTGAGACCATGAATTTTACCACTGACTCCTTTCTTGGATTTTGGCCCCTGTACATTACTGGTCTTCTCTACTAATACTCTTCCTGTGTCATAGTTTTTTTTATGGTATCTGATATGGTAGATATGTAGATAATTTTTTCTTCTTCTCTCTTCCAATAGTTTAAAGTCTTTTTGATTAGATTTGCAAGATACCAAACAAACATTTTTTTCCCACCAAGCTTTATTAGGTGCATCCTTTCTCTGACTTCAAAAAAAAAATCCATCCTGTATTTTATGCCCTGGTCTGGAAATATCCTCTTCTCACATACCATCTTTTTTAACCAATAGTTCACTTCCCAAATAAGCCTTTATTCTGCTAAATTCACTGTCTTAAAAATAGGTAATCTTAAGATCTTGAAACTCTTCCTTCTAAGTTCTTTAGGTTTTATTTAAGTCTTCATAATTCCTGGTAATGTTTTCTCTAAATTTCTTCTGGAAATAACATGTTTCCCATGTGACTCACCAGAAGTAGAGTAATAGTCATCAGGTTTGACAAAGTCTTGGGGTATTCTCCATCATATCTTTTTAAGTACTTACTCAAGGAAAACATCAGATCCTTTTATTTTTAATATCCTGTCTGAAAACAGATCCCTTGATAACCTTCATCGGGGAGTCTCCAACTACCATTACTCATCTCTTCACAGTCCAGACCTCATTGTATGGTCTTTCTTTTGAGTTCCTTCCGGAGAGCACCCAACTCCCCCCCTTTTTTTTTCTGATAATCTCAACTTATTTTTTAGCTCCAAATGTTCTCCTCCATGCTGTATTCTCCCACCTTGCAACTTCCTGATGGTGGGCAGCATGCCCTTCTGCTTTTTCATCAATTTTTTTTCTTTGTTTTTACCTTAAAACCTAGAGTCAGCTAGGTTGTGCAATGGAGGGAATGCTAGACCTAGAGTCAGGAATACTGAAGTTCAAATCCAGCCTCAGACACGTAGTAACTGTGTGATCCTGGGCAAGTCACTTGGCCTCTGCCTGCTTCAATTTTCTCATCTGTAAAATAGGGATAATAACAACTACCTCCCAGGATTATTGTGAGGATAAAATGAAATAATAGGTGTAAGATGTTTTCCTAACCTTAAAGTTCTACATAAATGCTAGCTGTTATTATTACTTAAAGCCCATCTTCCATTTTTTTGAAGAAACACTTCATTCTCTCTGTTAACCTGGAAAGTGGTGAGGACGTTCTTCAATCCTGTTATCTCCTCTCAAACTTTGAACAGAATAGCACGTACTTGGCTATTGCAAAAACAAACAGCATCGCCTTCACAGTTTGTCACAAGATTCTTGCCTTTGGCCTTCTCTTTTCATCCCACTATGTTCATTGTTTCTGGGACTAATGAGATTTTGAATATGATTGTGCCTTCCCAGAGAGGCTGGCATAGAATTATTGGAGATAGTATAGTGCTATAAAAAAGGGATGTTGGGAGCTAATTTGTGGGGACACTGGGCATTGAAGGGCTTACTCAGTGCTAATTCTCGGATCCTAACAGAGTTACTAGTTACTTCAGATTTGTAGCCTGTTGCCACAAATCCTGGCTCTGACTGGCTTTTTCTTCCCTTTGTTGACTAGATTACCTAGTTCCCGTCCTCTGTGGGGTCTTCAGCATCATGTGGCTGACATGTATCATCATCTGCGTGTGGTGGACTCGAAAGAGAAGAAAAGAGAGAGAGAGAAGCCGACTTCCCAGGGAGGAGAGTGTGAACAATCAGTGGGCTACCCTGAACCCCATCAGGAACCCTATAGACAGACCATACAGTAACAAAGACATTTATTATGAATGCAAAAACTTCATTTCTCCTCCTAAGAGAACTCGTGATGAGGTGGAGGAATATGTAGAGTATGAGGAAGAGGAGGAAGAAGAGGAAGAGGAGGAAGAAGAGAGAGAGGTCATTGAGGCAGAGAAGTTCCTTTCTCAAAAACTGCAAAAGCCTTCACTCACCAAAGGACCAGGGGACCTCAAGGAGAGCCCCCTTGGAAAGTGGGCACGCCCAGGGGCAAGCCACAAAGTAGACAACAGATCTCTCAAGAATGTGAATGACTATGAAGATGGAAAAGATTAGCCCCGAGGCGCTGGGGAGCTGAAGTCCCCTCCGGGGCAAGGCAGGGGGAGAAGGGGGAACTCTTCCTTCTGCCTCAAGAACCGACATATCTGGAGTCAAATGTAATGTTTATAGTTTCTTTATTTTGTGTAAAAAAAAAGTTTATTTTCTATGTTTCTTTAGTCTTGTATAAATTATTCAATGACTGTCAGGTGAAAAACAATTGAGTATTCTTTAATAGTTGCTATTTTTGTAAAGTTATAAGACACTGTGTGACAGAGGAGAAACAAAACGGTATCTGTATTTTCGCTATTTTGTGTAAAGTTTATTATAAGAGATTATACATTGTTTACAGAATCTTTCTTTTTTATTCCTTGATCTGATTGAATGGTGGCTCCCAAGCCCCCTGCCTGAGGACCCTGTGGGACCCGTTTGCCAATGCCCCGAGCCTGGCGGCTCCTGGCGGGCTCGATGACTGCACTTGCGACTGTGCCGGCTGCTTCCCCAATCCTGCAGATCTGCCTTACGCTTCATAGCTGGAACAAAGCTATAGAGGTCTTTCAACTGTGGTTCAAAACGTGGCCTTTCTGTCTCTTTCTCCTCTTTTTGCTCTTCAGTCCTTTAGGATCGCAGTATTGAAGCATGGGACAAGTGCCTTGAGATAAACTTTTCTATAGCAGCTGTCAGAAACTGCCATCTCTTCGTCCACCCACCTGGCAAGCTCAGACCAGGCCCAGCCCTACCTGCTCCTTTTCTGCTCTGATTGTGAACATGTGCGTCTGTACATATGTACATATTAAATGAATCACTCTGTATATTTGATTTAATAACTTAAAATATTTCAGTCTCCCTTTTTTAAAAAAAAAAATTGACATGTCATTCCTTAATTTATGCTGCAGGCAGGGAGATGCTGTTTACAGGAATTTTCCACGTCCCTGGACAAGGGAAGCTAGAGAGAGTGGAATGAGCAGGGCAGGATGTTAAGACTAGGACAGGACTGCCTCATTAGACCTTGCTGGGTTAAGGTGACCCAGCAGTGATGTGTAAATAGATCCAGCAATGATTGTTTGCCCCCCTTTTAATGACCTGAGGCTCCCAAAAACACACAGGATACCCTGTCTGCAGATGGTATGTATATGTATGTGTGTGTGTGTGAGAGAGAACGTCTGTGTGTATATGTGTTGGCATGTGAGAGACAGAGATACGGCTTCCTTGGTGAATGTTAATTACACATGGTATTAATGTACTTTTTTGGCATTTTAAAAACAGGCCTGATGAAGGGAACAATGACCTTTTCTCCTCTGTTCACAGCTTAGTTAATGGTGGTTCCGTGACACAGCAGTGGTAATCAGAGCTACCAAGGTGTGGGAATACCATTAGAAAGCCCGCGTGGTTTGGTTTGGTTTGTTTTGGTTAGGACTTCCATTTCCACTTCAATTTATTGCTGTTAGATGGGCAGGCTACGTAGTTTTCCTTTTTCATTACTAAGAAGATATTGTGCTCTTTTGCCATTAGTTGGGGTAAACAGTGGATGGGGGGAAGGGAGGTGGCTATCTGAATAGTGAGCACCCCAGCCAATGAGCAGTGTAAACATGGTCGTTTGGAAACTCTAATTACTGTATACATTAAATCCAGGAGTGGTGTGCAGGATCCTCTGTTCATTACATTTTGTTTGCTTATTAAACAACTTTCACAAAAAACTATTTATTAAAACATTTTGTAACAATGTCTGGGATTCTCGTACTTGAATGTCTTGTCTTTCTTGCCAACACAGCATTTGAAAAAAAGAGCTATGTGTGTGGCCTTGGGGACTAGACTCTAGTGCTGGATTCAGTCTCTATTGCTGCATTACACCTATTGTGCCTTCAACAGGGAAATGAGATGACTTAGGTAGACAGTACTGTTGACATGCACAACCTTCTTCCTGTCCCTCTGAACTGTGGTCCAGGAAAGGGTGTGAAGTCTGTCTGTGTCCTTAAATACCCCTGCTTTATGTGTTAATAACTAGCCTCATAGAGGATGCAACATAAAGAGAAGAGATCTGGACTTGGAGATGGGATGTCTGAGTTCCAGTCATGGCTTTGACACTTGGATAATCTGCCCTTGGATAATTCACTTCCCTTACCTGGGCCTTCATCTCTCTTTGTCAAATAGGTTTGGACAAAGATTAATCATTCAATCAACAAGAATTTAATAAGTATACTTACTAAATACAAGGTACTCTTTGAGGCCCAGGGAATACAAAGACAAAATGGAAACAGCCACTGCCCTCAAGAAGCTTACAGTGTATCAAGAGATACAACTTATACGTAAATATATACAGAAAATAAATGGGGGGGCAGGGAAGAGCTAGTAGCTGGAGGATCAGGAAAGACTACGGAAGGTGCCACTTGAATATAGCTTTGAAGGAAACAAGGTATTCTCAGGGTTGAGGTGAGATAAGAGTATATGGGGGATAGCAGGGTTGGGAACCAATGCAAAGAAGTGACAGCGGACATGTTCAATGTCAAAATCGCAAGGCGGCCAGTTAGGCCAGACCACAAAGTATGGGGAGGAGAATGTCATAATAAGAATGGAAAAATTAGATTGAGGCCCAATTCTGCAGGACTTTAAAAGCCAAAAGGAGCTTATACTTGATCTTAGGTGCAATTGAGTACAACTGGAATTTATTGAGTAGGGGAGTGACATGGTCAGACCTGTACTTTAGGAAGATTAATTTGAGTCATTGGAGTTTACTAAGTGGGGGGTGGGGGAGGGTAACATGATCAGACTTGTGCTTTAGGAGAATCACTTTGGCACCTGGGTGGAAGATGAATTGAAGAAGGGAGAGATGAGGTAGATCATTTAGGAGACTTGCAATAAAAGGAGTGCCTGAACCTAGGATAGTAACCTTGTTACCAGAAAGAAGAATGGATTGTGGTGGTTAAAATGACAAGATTAAGGGGCAACTAGGTGGCACAGTGAATAGACCTCTGGCCTTGGAGTCAGGAGGACCTGAGTTCAAATCCAGCCTCAGACATTTAACACTTACTAGCTGTGTGAACCTGGGCAAGCCACTTAACCCCGATCACCTCACCAGAAAAGAAAAAAAAAAAAGATTAAGCAACTGATTGAACATATAGGATGGGGCCAGCTACTTGGCGCAGTGGATAGAGCACTGACCTTGGAGTTAGGAGGACCTGAGTTCAAATCCAGCCCCCAGACTTTTCCTAGCTGTGTGATCCTGGGCAAGTCACTTAACCCTGATTGCCTCATCAAAAAAAAAGAAAGAGAAAAGAAAAAGAAATAAACATATAGGATGGAGAGTAGAGAATTGATGCCAAGGTTATGAACCCAGATGACCAGAAAGATGGTATTATTCTTGATGGAAATAATACAAGTTTAGAGAGAGGTAGACTTCTAGGAAGAGAAGAGTTCAATCCTGGACATGATGCCTGTGGGACATCCAGTTTGAAATAGACTACAGATAGTGATACACAACTGAAGTTTAGAGAAAGAGGACTCAGGACAGATTCTTGGGGTACACCCACAAGAGATATGATATGGATGATGAGCCAGCAAAGAAAAAAGGAAAAAGAAAATACATTCAGAGAAACTGAGAGAAGCGTCTTGAAAACCAAGAGAATATCCAGAAGGAGGAGATGGTTAACAGTAGCAGCAGCTGCAGAGAAGTGGAGAAAATGAGAACTGAGGGAAAGGGCATATGATTTGGTTATTGGAGAGTAATGTCATTTGAAAGAAAAGGTCAGAAGGCAGGTTGCAAAGGTTGAGAAATAGAGGAGAGAGAAGCAGAGTCAGTAAAGGTGTGGTTTTTTTCTTTTATTTGGCTGTGGGAGGGAGGAGAGGTAGAGGATGATAGCTTAAGGGGATGGTAGCCTCTAGGAGGGTTTTTTCAGCTTGTTGGGGGAGGCGGACTGGATGTTTTGAAAGACAGCAGAAAAGAAACCAGTACTAAGGGAAGAGATCTGAAGAGGCAGGCGGGATGATTTCTGGAGTAATCTCCTGGAATGGAGAAGAGAGGTTAGGAACAAGGGTACACATAAAAGGATTGGCCTTGGCAAAGAGAAGCTCTTCATCAGAGACCCAATAAAGGAAAGAATAAAGAAGAGGTGGGGCATTTTGAGATAGAGAGAAGACAAGAAGGAAATAACTTGCGCTAAGATTTCAAGGGAGCAAGCCAGAGATATTTGATTTCCAGAAAGTTATTCCCTAGACAAGATGCCTGGTTCTTTCTAAGGGGAGTTCTTAATAAATGTTGCTAAAGTAAAAGAAAGCCAGTAGGTTGGACTTCATGCATTAAAGAGCACTGGTACTAGAAACCGAAGACCCTGGTTCAAATGTCACCTCCAATGAGAACTATGTGATTGTCATGTCACTTTCTGGGCCCATTTTCTCATCTGTAAAATGAAGAAGGCCCATATGACCCCTGAGGTCCTTTCAAGCCTTAGAATCTATAATATTTTGAGTCTTCACCTATCTGATCTTATCTACCAGGGACTAATCCAATACACGAACTGGTGGTATGCTTAAACACCAACCCTCCACTGTCAGAGGAAGGCAGAATTTAATCATCTTTGGTAGAAGGATATGTGATACAGTGTTTGAGTTAGAAGATCTGAGTTTGAATCCCAACTCTGACTTATTAGCTATGTGACCATAGGCAAGTAACAACCATTTTAAGTCTCAGTTTACCTGTTTATAAAACAGGGATAATAACACTTGAACTATTTACCTCTCAGCCTTGTTAGGAAATCACTTTATAAATTTTTAAAGTGGACTAGATGTTAACTAGTATTATTTGGTAAGGGTTGACAGTATGGTGTGATGAAAAGATCTCTGAGTTTAACATCATAATAACTGGGTTCAAATCATGACCTGTTTGACCTTAAACCTAAGTGTTTAATCAGTAAAATGCTATTTGCCCTGCCCTCATAGGTTGATTTGGAAACTTTGAATTATAAAATGCAAAGGATCATTATTAAAGACCTCATATTTGTGTGGAGGATGGTATCTAGCATGAGACCCCATGAATCTGTCCTATATATGGACCTAGTGTTAGTTCCCCCTCCCCCCAAGACCAACACTCTAAGAAGTTTGTATAATTTTTCCTAAAGTCAAAGAACCTAGAATGCCACTGAGTTGGGAAGGAACTTGTCCCTTTGCTATTTGACATTTTCATGAATAAGTTGAGTGAAGGTCTAAATATATGTGTTAAGTTTATGGATGATATAAACAGCTGGAAGGATAGGTAATATGTAGCTAGATAATTGTATAAAAGGTTTTAAAACAATTCAATTTCAGTATGAGTAATGATTTCCCCAAAAGGTGGTACAGTCCTGGTTTCATTGATACAGCTATAATGTCCTGAATGAAAGGAAGAAAAAATAGATTTTTAGATTGTAAGTACCTTGAAGGCAAAGATAATGAGTTGTTTTGTTGTTGGGTTGTTTTGGGTTTTTTTGGGGGGGAAGGGTCTCTTTATTTCTAGCACCTAATATATGGCCTTATGTACAATAAGCAACTCATGTACTCTGCCCTGATTAATCACTATCTGGAATACTGGGCTGAGTTCCTGCTGCCATATCTTATGACCTTAACAAGCTGGGCCACATCTTGAGGAGAGTGGCCAGGAAGGGGAAGGTCCAAAAACTTACATAGAGGATTGATTAAAGGAATTGCAGATTCTTAGCTTGAAAAACGTAGTAGGATGGACACAGTAAATGCCTTTAAGTATCTGAAAGGGCTATCATGGATGAGAACAATTCCACTGGTTGGTTCCGCTTGTCCCCAAAAGGCAGGACAGTAGTAGGTGGAAGCTGCAGACCGATTTTGATTCCATGAAAAGAAAAACTTCCTAAAATCAGCTATCCAAAGTTAGAATGGACTACCCAGAAGGCAGTGGGTTCATCTTTCTTCAAGAGTTCTTCAAGTAGTGCCTGGTTGTCCACTTGTTGGCGATGCTGTAGAAAGGATTCCATTTCAGCCAGGAGTTGAACTAAAGGCCTCCTAGTCCCTTCCAGTTCTAAGATTCTTATATTCTAGCTGCCTAGTTTGTGGTCCTGAGGCCCATGATTCCTTGCTTCTTTAACAAAACAAGACATCAGAACCCAAGCGAGAAGCCAGGGTGGGAGGCACGGGGTGCCTGTGGTCATTGCTTGCACCGTTTCAATGAAACCTGCTCAAACCCTGTAGCCCAGTGCTCTCCTTGCTGGGGACTGGCTGTCTGTTTTGTTGTCTGCCAGGCAGAGTAGATAATTAATCCTCTGAGAGGCCTATACTCTCAGGAAGTTGAATGAGATCAAAACACTGCAAAGCTACTTGAGGCCTGTGGTTTAATCCATGGCTCTGTCTAAGGGTATTGCAGCAAAAATTATCCAGCTGATTCCACTAATCTCCGATTTATTTTTTAATTTTCTTTTTTATTATAAACTTAATCATCAGTGCAGACATTTCAGGATACAAAAAGCAATAGAAAAGGGGAGTTATAAGGAAACAACTTGTTACAGTTTTTAAACATGGATAAGAGACATAATAAAGTTTAAGATAGTAACAAAATAACTGTTCACTTCTGCCCTTAGTATTTCATTAAACAGTTAATAGAAAGGTGATTTACTTAGCTATAGCAAAAATTATATTCACCCAGGATAAATATTCAATGACCTCTGTCTATGCCCCCTCTCCCCAAGGAGGAGCAGGAGTATCTGTACCTGAAAACTCTGGCTGAATTCAGACTCG